TGCAATGAATGTATCATAACAGAGAAAATTATTAATAACAAATGGAATCACTAATGAGGAAAGGAGTTAGCAATTTTTACACCTTAATCACTTTGTCTACTTTTATAAAAGGACTATTCTTACTTGCTAGTGCTGACTAGGAATATTGTTAGCAGTAGCAATATGCAAAAATCTTGTTCAAATATAGAACATTTAAATTATTAGGAAATACTGTTGTCAGTACTGCAGTTTAACCACTGATGTCCTATTGTTTTTTCCAATTAAATATCAAGAAATGCGGGTGGCACCAATCTCCTTGGATGACTATTTGATAATATATGAATCACTTCCTGCTGGTTTATGATCGGTATTCATTGCACTGTAACTTATTTGTAAAGTAGATGGAAAGCATTTTAGATTGAAATTATAAAGCAATTTCTCTTATGGAGAATACTTCCTTCCCTCTATTTAGGGTTCCCTAGTAAAATCAACTATATGCACCAAAAGGGGGAGAATGAAGTAGATTTTAAAATAACCACAAGCCCTGGCCGATGTTTCTCAGTGGTTAGAGCATCAGCCTGTGGACTGAAAAGGGTCATGGGTTCAATTCCGGTCAAGGGCATGTGACTGGGTTGCAGGCTCTATTCCCAGCCCCCATTGGGACGTGTGTGGGAGGCAACCAATTGTTGGTTATGTCTGTCTGTCTCTCCCCTCCTACTCTCTCTAAAAAAAATCAATGGGAAAAATATCCTTGGCTGAGGATTAACAACAACAAAATAACTGAGTTCTTTTCCTAAATACATGTTAATCTGGTGAAGACTTGCCTGATGAGGGAGCTGCCAGGGATGGTCTGACTGAGGGAGAGCTGCTCTGAGATGAAAACTACTACAAGGGAGTCACTTTGACAGGCCAGTTCCCTGCCATTTGAATCCCTTTTATCAGATTTAAAAAGTTATAGAACATACATACCTTTATGTATAGTTCATAGACATCAGTAAAGAAGTTCTTTATTCCATCTTCTTGTCTTATGTCATGAAGCATAATAAATCTCATATGTGAAATAATTAAGGTGTAATCTTAGAAATAAATGTAAAATGAAAAGCAATAGTTCAAAGTTAGGTTAGTTTTTACCTTAAAGAGAACATAATCTTTTAAAGTTAAAAAATAAAACCACCCTTGATAGGGTTCAGATAAACCTTAGTTTTATATACCAGACTTGGTTTTAAAATGATTTAAACAAAATGTATTTTTTCCCTGAAAAAAATAAAAGTAGCTACGTAAATGGCAATTTTTACCTGACACTTTAAAGTCCATCAACTTATTCTGGCATCTGTGTCCCATGTTCTAGTTGGTTACCCCAACCTTTAGTTAGATATCTTTATTAAGAAGGTAAGGATATGACCTGCAGTAACAAATGCTGAGACAAACCACTCATTGAACTTGTCCACAGTTTTCAAGTACATGTTGTTTGACAGCCACATATTCTCATCCACCAGGTCAAGGGCAGCGTGAGCTATGAACTGGTTCAGATGACGATGGTCGTCCTAGATGACAGTGTGAGCAGCACCAGGTTAACATTTCCATACAGCATCAAGACAGCCAACCTTTCAATCTGTAAATCCTATACAGTTCTTCTTGCGGGGGGACACTTTCTTTTTCTAAAAAAGTATATTTTTATTGATTTCAGAGAGGAAGGGAGCAAGAGATAGAAACATCAATGATGAGAGAGAATCATTGATCGGCTGCCTCCTGCACGCCCCACACTGGAGGTCAAGCCTGCAACCTGGGCATGTGCTCTGACCAGAATCAAACCGTGACTTCCTGGTTCATAGGTTGACGCTCAACCACTGAGCCATGCCAGCCGGGCTACTTTTAAATTTGGTATCTAAAACTCAATAAATAGAAATAGCCGATTATAATACACTAATTATAATATTAATAAAATGTGTTCAAGAAACTAAAAAAATTTTAATTTTGCAAGAAGGAAGCTACCAGTTTCCGTAACCTTTTAAGCATGTGGGGGAAAAATACTCTGTTGGAAAACAAATAGATCCTCCTTTCAAGAAGCCTGTATCCTTTTAGAGCAGCGGTTCTCAACCTGTGGGTCGTGACCCCTTTGGCGGTCAAACGACCCTTTCACAGGGGTCGCCTAAGACCAGGGGTCCTCAAACTATGGTCCGTGGGCCACATGCAAATACAAATATTGTATTTGTTCCCATTTTGTTTTTGCATAGGAATTTGTTCATAGTTTTTTTTAAACTATAGTCCAGCCCTCCAACGGTCTGAGGGACAGTGAACTGGCCCCCTGTTTAAGAAGTTTGAGGACCCCTGCCTAAGACCATCCTGCATATCAGATATTTACATTACGATTCATAACAGTAGCAACATTACAGTTATGAAGTAGCAACGAAAATAATTTTTTAAAAAATATATTTTATTGATTTTTTACAGAGAGGAAGGGAGAAGGATAGAGAGTTAGAAACATCGATGAGAGAGAAACATCGACCAGCTGCCTCCTGCACACTCCCCACTGGGAATGCGCCCGCAACCAAGGTACATGCCCCTGACCGGAATCGAACCCAGGACCCTTGAGTCCGCAGTCCGATGCTCTATCCACTGAGCCAAACCAGTCAGGGCGCAACGAAAATAATTTTATGGTTGGGTCACAACATGAGGAACTGTATTTAAAGGGCCAGAAGGTTGAGAACCACTGTTTTAGAGGAAGACAGGAAAAAATACCCAAGAGGTTGTGGATAAAGGACAGCAACATAGGTAAGCTGGGGCTAAGGACTTAGAGGTGACATTGGCACAGGCCTCAAGGTGGGGTGAGGGGGAGGCTTCCTGTGTAGTGACACCTGGTGAGCAGTGAAGACAGGCGAGGAGGTGGCACTCCTAACATGTTGGCATGACTCTTTCAGGTGTAAGGAGTTTACAAGGCAGGGGGACCTGGGAGTGGCAGGAGGCCATGCTTAACCCTTGTGAGCACTCAGTCCCCTATGTGATAGCAGGAGACAGTCCTGTAAGAGCTGGGAGTGTCCTTTTCATGGGCTGACAGAGCTGAACTGGAGAAGGTGGGAATGTCCCACCATATTGTGGAGGGGGAGTTCACAACCTGAAATGGTCTTACTCCTGTGGAATTCTTACTTTCCATATGCATTTTCAAAGAACACCTCTGTGATGGGTTGAATTGTACTCCCACCCATTCCTGTGTTGCAGTCCCCACTCCTAGTACCTTAGAATGCAGCCTTATTTGGAAAGAGGGTTGTCACAGATGTAACTAGTTAGCATGAGTTCATGCTAGAGAAGAGTGGGCCCCAATGTGACTGATGTATTTATAAAAAAAGGGGACCCTTGGACACAGACACACCCAGGGAGAACGCCATGTGGAGACTGGAGTTGTGCTGCCACCAGGCAAGGAACTACCAGGAACTAGGAGAGAGGCCGGAACAGATCCTTCGCGAGCACCTTCCCTGCCGAGGGGGCACGGCCCTCCCCACCCTTGAGCTGGGCCTTCTGACCTCCAGAACCGAGACAGAACATTCCCATTATGCTAAGCCACCCAGGTTTTGTGCTCTGTGACGGCAGCCCTGGGAAACTGATACAGACCCTTTGCTGAGGAGGCTGTTCCCACAACTGGGCTGGAGGAAGGCTGCCAGTTACCCTGGAATCCCTCGCACAGCTAAGCATGTTTACTTCACGCCCGTTGCCAAGATGCAGCTAATTTAATCCTTAGAGAAAGGGATGTATTTCGTGTCTGGTTTATAGCAGCATTTTCTATTACTTTACAGGGATGATCAATCTTAAGAGATTAGGAGAAAACTAGAAATGCTTTCAGAAGGTAAGTGGTAGCATCTTGCGATGAAGTACTTATATATGCACTGCTTTATGTACCACCAGGCCCCAGAGTGCACAGGAACTATAACTGAGTAGCCGTGTAACGCAAAGCAATCACTGCTACAGAGATGCCTCAAACCAAAGTTTTAATGAGCAGCGTGCTCATAGGGATGTGGGAAAATAATGTAGCACCAACACCTGGTAGGATAATTACATTTCTATCATATTTTACTGGCAAGATCTGAATAGTTGACAAGCATCCTACACTAGACTGGGCATTATGCATTACAATGAATTTGAAAAATCAACTCCTGTCTTAAAGAACATTAAAGCTTATTTTTGGAGGTCGGGAGACACAGCACAACTTATAGGCAATTAGGAACGTGGACTGGTACAGAAAGATGGAAAGGGACCCAGCTATTCTCATCTCAAGGCTCTATGGCTCTGTTTATTCTGAATGGAGACGTTCTCCAAACCAGTTGTTTTTCTACAGCCATTCTTGATAAGGAAGCTGGGTGTGTCACTGGGGAGGAGAGCATATGGGCACCAGCCAGTAGATAAGGTAGAAGGTCACTGGAAACTGCCATCGTCTTGGGCAGCAGGAAGACATGTAAGTAAGGGTCCCTTTTAACCCTCCCAGGTGTAAATGGATCTACTATGTATGTCCTGGTGAAAAATGTGACTTCTGGGGCAGAATGGGCTTTCGTGGCATTTCAAGGCAGCAACGACTGTTCTTTCAGACCCACTATGAGTGGACCATGTTTCTATGCGCTTAAGGAGTAGCTTTTCCTAGTTGGGTGGCACAGTGGACTGAAGACCAGGAAAAGAGGCCCAGAGCATCCTCCCAGTACATGCTAAGTGTGTGCCGATAAAGGATGAAGCAATTCATTGAACCTTCCCTGACTGGCTTCTACCAGCCCATGGGACTCCAGAGCAAACCTCGCTTAATTGTTATCTCATCTGTCCAGATCTCCAGTTAGAAAAGCACATTACACCATTATCATTACAACAGCGTGACAGTTCTCATGGGGTTTGTTAAGGTTCCATACGCACTTTGGATTCTGCTTTTCCAGGTGGCAGAAACTCCATTTCAAAAACTGGATTGTCATGGTGGCCAACAATCACGAAGTAGAAGCTTCCAGACATTGTCTCCAATATATGGCTCCTAATTAAGTGAAAAGAAAATGCATTGTTAGTACTCAAGACTGAAAACCAAAAATGGTTAGCTGGGAGCGTACAGTCCCGGGGAAAGTACAACCGAGGTGTGCCAGGGCCCAAGATGCATCATGCCTCACAGGGACTCCTGCTGATTCACTCAGAACATGCAACAAAAGCCAAAGAAGTCCGAAATATATTTCCTAACGAATGCAGTGCTTTGTAAAGGAAATCAGGCTAGAGCTGGTGCATGTAACCCAGGAATTGGAAGGCCAGGTCTGGGAAAAAAGGCAGGCAGGAGACTCTCTTGGCATAGTGAAGTAAGTAGGATTTAAAATATTATTTGGGGCAGGGGTTGTTACACTATAGCCTACAGGCCAAATCTGGCCTCATCTGTCTTACTATAGTCAAAGGCTGCTTTTGCCCTACAGTGGCAGAGGTGAGCCGTTGTGACAGGGATCGCCTGGTGCTTTACAGAAAAAAATGGTCCCTGTTTTAGGGGAAAATGAGAAAAGGGCCCAAATAGTAAAACTGGATAACCAAGACAAGCAGGAATGATACAAAAGCCGTGCAAAATAGGAGAATTGGCCAGAATTCTCAAGAGAAAGTGAGGGGAAGAGGGATGGGAGCTTGAAATGTTAACCAAGTCAGCAATGACATCATTCATTTTTGCTGGAATACGTTTCCTAGCTGGAGTTTGCCAAGGGAAGGGCTTACTTCACAAACATTTAGGCAGCAGAGAGAAAAGATAAGGCAGACACCTCCCCCAATGCACATTTAAGCAGCAGCAGAAAACAATTAATGTATAAAGGAAGCTAACCACCCGCAAAATACTTCTCTCCCGTATGGAAATCCATGACTGGGAGAGAAGCATGGTGCTAAGTACCGAGTGAGGACAAACAAAAAGGAAACTGAAGGAAATACTGCCTAAAGGTTGTATCACAAACTACACAGCTGGGCAGGACTTGAGCTGCCAAGAATTTGATTTCACAAACACCTGGAGAAGGGACGTAACTCTCTTCAATTATGACAAGGAATAACTGAACGGTGGGTGACGTGGAAGGAAAAGAAACCATACAACCACATAGTCTCAGGAAGGGAATATCTACAATCATTTAATGTCAGAGGGCTTACCATGCCTAGGTAGTGGGCAAAAGGGAGACACTCTCTAGAACTCTGTGCTGTCCTGTATATGGAACTTTCTGCGAGAATGGAAATGTTCTGTACCTGCGCTGTGCGATCTAGTAGCCACTGGAGATTAAGGAGCATTTGAAATGTGGTTCGTGTCTGCAGAACTGAATTTGAAATTTTATTTAATTTTAATTGATTAAATAGCCACACGTGGTTCATGGCTACTGTATTGGACCGTGTAGCTCTAGACCAGTGGTTAGCAAACTCATTAGTCAACAGAGCCAAATATCAACAGTACAACGATTGAAATTTCTTTTGAGAGCCAAATTTTTTATTATTTATTTATTTATTTATCCAACTGACAGCCTCAGCAGGCCCTTTTTCTTTATTTACCTCTCCCGGTCCCAGAGCCCCTCAAGCCCAACTCTGCCCCGGCCCCACCCACCTCTCAGCCAGGCTGCCACCTTCCCAGGGGTCCAGGTCTTCACTGGCTCCATGGTGGAGTCCAGTCCGCCCAACGGGATCCGAGAGCCAAATTTTTTAAACGTAAACTATATAGGTAGGTACATTGTTATTAACTTAATTAGGGTGCTCCTAAGGCTTAGGAAGAGCCACACTCAAGGGGCCAAAGAGCCACAGTTTGCCAACCACTGCTCTAGACCAATGATTGCAAACCTTTCTTTTTTTTTTTGACAGTTCCAGGATTTCTTCCACCTTCCCTCCACCCATGAAGTATTACTTAAACTCCAATATGTAACACAAACAATACAAATAAAGCACCACAACAGCTGTGTGTGTGTAAGTTGTGTGTGCCTGCTCCACCTGAAGCAGGGGCCCTTCGAGCATCTGCAAGGGAGACTAGGCCTCGAGGCGTGGAGGAGGGAGCTACACAGTACTTGGCAATGGATTAAATGGGAGAACTGAAGATGTTTCCAAATGTTTGGCTGAGGTGAACAAGCAGAATATCAGGATGCCATGCTATTCACTGAGAAAACAAATAAGGGAAGGAAGAGGGATGCAAACATGTCAGTTTAGAACAGGGGTGGGCAAACTTTTTGACTCGAGGGCCACAATGGGTTCTTAAACTGGACCGGAGGGCCGGAACAAAAGCACGGATGGAGTGTTTGTGTGAACTAATATAAATTCAAAGTAAACATCATTACATAAAAGGGTACGGTCTTTTTTTTTTTTAGTTTTATTCATTTCAAACGGGCCGCGGGCCGTAGTTTGCCCACGGCTGGTTTAGAACATGGTGTGGTAGCCAGAATAGCCCTCCTGACCACCTCCTTCACCCACCCCCCCCCCCGCCCCAAATGTCCACATCCTAATCTTGGGAACCTGTGAATGAATGTTAATTTACCAGGTAAAGGGGAATTAAGGCTACAAATGGAACTAAGGTTGCTCATCAGCTGACCTTAGATAGGAGATGATCCTGGGCTACCCAGGTGGGCCCAATGCAAGCGCAAGGGGCTTTAAAAGTGGAGGGAGGCACGAGAGGAAGTCAGGTGACTACAGGTCCTGGCTTTAACGATGGAGGAAGAGGTCACCAGTCACAGAACACCGGTGGCATCCAGAAGCTGGAAAGGACAAAGGAACAGAGTCTCCCCAAGAACCGAGTCTCCCCAGGAGCTTCCAGAAGGGAACACAGCCTCCTGATACCTGGATTGCAGCCCAGTGAGACCCACATTGGACTTCTATGCTAAGAACTGTAATGTAATGCATTTATGTTGTTTCAAGCCACTTAATTTGTGGCAATTTGTTAGGGCAGCAATAGGAAACTAACACACATGTCAGAGCTGGAAAAAACACACAAACCTCCCTTGCAGGTACGAGAAAAAAGGAAATATTCAAGGAAGCGTCAGCCAAAAGGTAAAAGTGCATTCTGTAAAGAGAGCCGGAACAGAGGGAGTTCATTTACCATGGCACATGGGTAGCAAAGCATTGTTGGAAAGGTGGGTCTGGGGCAACGGTGCGTCAAGATGGACCTACCTTAGGAAAAGAACAGGAACTGTGGTTTTTTCCAGCCTGAATCCCTGACACCGAGCCTAGTATATAATAAGTGCTCAATGTTTGCAGAATGGAGCTGCGGGGGGCGGGGGGGAGGGGGCTGTAGTTTACAGTGTGAGATGACCCTAAGAATAGGGGAGAGGGAATGCTGGAGTGAGAGGCAGGGTGGGATTAACCAGCCCAGCTGAGGCCTGTGGGGTGGGGAGGAAGGGAAGTACTCAGAGGCCTGATAGCTGGTGTCAGTTCAAGCTATTAACAGCACCTTTGTGAGAAGCTGCTGAAGTTCCTTACATAAAGCAATCCTCCATTACAAGGGGCAGGGCTTGTTGCCTGAGAGTAGGGGAGGCAGGACTGCACCTGCGGTGAGGACAGCAGCAGTCTCTGGTTGTTAGGGTGACTTGAGCTGCTTTTGGGAGAGACAACTAAAGAAATCAAGGTGGTGCTATAAGGAGCTCAGGGCTACCTTGAACTCAAAGAGGCTGTGCACATAATGTAGGAAGTAGGGCACTAACTAGTAATGAACACAGAAATGGGACCTGGGACCTTCAGAAACCTGTGAGGCTAGCATCAGAAAGGCAAAAGCCCAAATGAGCTGAAATGTGTGGACTAAGTTAAGAAAAAGAAAGCCTTTTTAGGCTACAGTCAGGAAAAAGCAGGGGAGAAAGGCCAACTGCTTCAAGCACCTGGTATACAAAGTACAGAGGATGCAGATCTGCTGAACTTCAATTTCCTTAAAAAGCATGATTTTCCAACAGCAAATGTGGAAGAATCAAGGTTAGGCAGGCTATGAACCTCAAGATGGGAATATTAAAAAATCTAGACATTTCAATAAATACAAGTATTCAGTTCTCAGCAAACTACATATCTTGGATTAACAAATGTGATTATACATCTAGTGATCAGTGATATTTAAGAAGTCGCAAGAACAGAAAAGAGCCGTATCATCAGATACAGGTAAGTGTTATTCCTATTTTCAAAAACAAAAAGGTTTATCTCCTAGTCTATAATTGGGTACTTTCTTTTTTTAAAAAAATATATTTTATTGATTTTTTACAGAGAGAGGAAGGGAGAGAGATAGAGAGTTAGAAACATCGATCAGCTGCCTCCCACACACCTCCTACTGGGGATGTGCCCGCAACCAAGGTACATGCCCTTGACCGGAATGGAACCTGGGACCCCTCAGTCCGCAGGCCGACGCTCTATCCACTGAGCCAAACCGGTTTCGGCAATAATTGGGTACTTTCAAAGAAATGAAAAGACCAATAGAAATATGTATTAAATGGCTGCCTTTGGTTAGACGCTATACTGAGAGCTTTTATTATACATCATTCAATGTGGATCCCTACACAAAAAGAGTAGGTAACCCCTGGTTATACTGAGAACAAGTCACGCCAAACTTAAATTTTATGATTTGGAAGGGAAATTAGGAGGCAGTAAATCATTTTGGGAAATAGTTTGGTGTACACCTAGAAACAACTAGACCTTTAGCTTGCATGATAACACAGTCTGGTATCCCCAGAGCTATAACAATGCTGGGGCCCAGAAAACACTCCTTATAACAATAATTGTGAGATGAAGCCAACTTATCACATTCAAAGATATGCTAAGGGCAACACATTTATTAGAAGGCAAAAGGCAAGATTCAAAAATATCTCCACAACTAAGAGAACTAGGTGTAAAATTAACAAAGTAGAATTTAATAGGATGCAAAATAAAGTCCTGTACTTGGGCTTGGAAAAAATGAACTGCACAACAGGGTGAGGAAACCTAGCTTAAGAGCAGTGCATCTACAAGCACCCATTTTCATTTATTGCAAACTCAATAAGAGGCAGCAGTCTGAAACAGTGGTCACAAAAAGCTAATGCAATACCAAGCTGCATTAAGAGAAGACAATGTCCTCTTCACAAATAATATCATCTCTGGGGAAGTAGTCAGTTCTGGGAATTGCATTTTAAATGAATCAATAACTGAACTGTGTGTGGGGGGAGGAGGGTGGGATCTAGGCTAGGGAATGCTCTGGACAAAAGCTACTGAAAAAAACTGAGGATGTTTAAACTGAGGAAGGGAAAATACTTTTTTGGGGGGGGTGAGGGTGAGGAGCAGTGTCCAGCACAATGTCATCTGTAGAGAGATACGCTGTCTAATGGAAAAGGGAGCTGACTAGGAATGGCAAATGGGTTTCCTTTCCTGAGCCAGTTCGAATCACTGGTAGTGACTGCCAGGAACTGGTGCTGAGATTCTGAGTCTTAAGTGTGGTCAGCGGGAAAGATCGCTGTGATTAATTATCCACTGTCATGGGTGGTGGTGGGGGAAGGGCAGTTGGCGTACGCGAATGCCAAGCAGTGACTCTTTTTGCCACCATCCAAAGCATACCCATTAAAGCCCAGATGAAGTCATACTTTTCCCGCAGAGATGTCTCTGCGGGCTTCCATCTTCCACTCTCTTTTTTTCTAAACTCTACTCGAGTCTACAGTAATCTCAGCCCACCTTCATCTTTCCCACAGCATGCAAAAACAAAATTTAGCTCACTGATTTTCAACTAGAGACTTTTGCCTCCCCGAGGACATCTGGCAATGCCTGAGACATTCACGATGGTCAGAACTGGTGCGGAGGCGCTGCATTTAGTGGGCAGAGAGGCCAGGGACGCTGCTAACCACCCCGCGGTGCACAAGACAGCGCTCGCTACAAAGAGTTTTCGGGCCCCAAATGGCAATAGTGCCGCGGTTACGAAGCCCTGGGCTACTGAGTGACCTAGTAAAAGGCAAAAGATGCAAAACCCCGAGCTGACGGAGCTCGCCGGGTGCCAATGCCTGGGCTGTGATGGGACCAGCCGCCGGTGGCTGGCCCGGTTGGGCCCGGCGCCCCAGGCCGCAACTGGGTGGAGAGACAGGGTTAACACCCAGATCACGCGGCCCCGGATGTCCCCTGAAGCGCCCGCCTCCTCCCCCAATCCTCGCTCTATCCCCTACCTGCGCAGACTTCCTAAGAAAGTATCCACTGAGATCCCGCCGCGGCGACTCGCGCTCGGAACTTCAGTAAGGAAGCCGGGCAAGCTCTCGCGAGACTCGGAGGTCACACTCTCGCGATAAGTGGGCGGGGCTTCGGCAGCTAGTAACGCGGGCTCGCTGGCGCAAGCGCAGTAACGCTCCGGACTTAGGTCGCTCAACCTGGCGGGTCTCGGCGAGAGGGCGGGACCGGCTGTGGGCGGCGCGGAACCACGTGGTGCCTCGGCGTCCGGGGCCCCGGGTTTGCCAGACTCCTCGCCCGATGTTTCTACCCCCCAGCCTCCGGTGAGAGTGGCGATCGCGCGGTACACGACCCCACCCACGCATAGCAACCCGAGGGGAGGAAGTGCGTTTATGCGCCAGGGTTCTTAGTTCGGGGCGGGCGGGAGAGCGTTGAACGATTCCCGGCACCGCGGCTGGGCTCTGGAGGTAGGGAGCCCCCTCGTCGCCACCTTGAGGCGGGGCGGGCGGGACTGGCTCGGTGGGAAGCCGATGCCGGCAGAGATTAAGCATCTTGTTGGTTTTCGTTAAAGCGCTGACCGGGTGCGCGTGTGGGGTGCAGCATCTTGTTGGTTTTCGTGAAAGCGCCGACCGGGTGCGCAGGGGACGAAGCTTCGTGTTTGTTTCGTTCAGGCGCCGACCGGGTGCGCGTGAGGGGACGAAGCTTCGTGTTTGTTTCGTTCAAGCGCCAACCGGGTGCGCGTGAGGGGACGAAGCTTCGTGTTTGTTTCGTTCGGCGCCGACTGGGTGCCCGTGAGGAAAGAGATTCGTGTTTGTTTTCATTCAAGTGCCAACCGGGTGCGCACGTGGGGGGACGCGGCTTTGTGTTCGTTTGGTTAAAGCGCCAACGCGGTCCGCACGTGAGGGGACACGTGAGGGGACGAGGCTTTGTGTTCGTTTGGTTAATGCGCCAACGCGGTCCTCACGTGAGGGGACGAGGCTTTCTGTTTCGTTATCGCGCCAATCGGGTGCGCACTTGAAGGGACGAAGCTTTTTAAAGTTTTTGTTAAAGCGCCGACCGGGTGCGGGTGGGCGTGAGGGGGCGAAGCTTCGTGTTTGTTTTCCTTCAAGCGCTAACGGACTGCGCACGTGAGGGGACGAGGCTTCGTGTTCGTTCCGTTAAAGCGCCAACCGGGTGCGTGTGAGGAGAGGGAGCTTCCTGTTTTCGTTCAAATGCCAATCGGGAGCGCGCTTAAAGGGACAAAGCTTTTTAAAGTTTTTGTTAAAGCGCCGACCGGGTGCGGGTGGGCGTGAGGGGGCGAAGCTTCGTGTTTGTTTTCTTTCAAGCGCTAACGGACTGCGCACGTGAGGGGACGAGGCTTCGTGTTCGTTCCGTTAAAGCGCCAACCGGGTGCATGTGAGGAGAGGGAGCTTCCTGTTTTCGTTCAAGTGCCAATCGGGAGCGCGCTTGAAGGGACGAAGCTTCGTGTTTCGTTTCGTTAAAGCGCCGACCGGGTTCGCGTGAGGGGACGAAGCTTCGTGTTTGTTTCCCTTCAAGTGCCAATCGTGAGGGGACGAAGCTTCTTTTTTTAAATTTCTTTATTAAGTTATTACATGTGTCCTTATCCCCACGTTACCCCCCAACCCCCCACTCATGCCCTTGCCCCCCTGGTGTCTGTGTCCATTGGTTAGGCCTATATGCTGGCATACAAGCCCTTTGGTTGTTTCGTGAAAGCGCCAACCGGGTGCGCACTTGAAGGGACGGAAGCGTCTTAAGGTTTCCGTTAAAGCGGCGACACGAAGCTTCGTGTTTCTTTTCGTAAAGCGCCGACCGGGTGCGCGTGAGGGGACGAAGCTTCGTGTTTGTTTCCCTTCAAGTGCCAATCGTGAGGGGACGAAGCTTCTTTTTTTTAAATTTCTTTATTAAGTTATTACATGTGTGTCCTTACCCCCACGTTACCCCCCATCCCCCACCCCTCTGTCTGTGTCCATTGGTTAGGCCTATATGCTTGCATACAAGTCCTTTGGTTGTTTCGTGAAAGCGCCAACCGGGTGCGAGTGAGGGGACGAAGCTTATTTGTTTTCGTGAAAGCGCTAACCGGGTACGCACTTGAAGGGAAGAAGCTTCTTAATGTTTCCGTTAAAGCGGCGACACAAAGCTTCGTGTTTCTTTTCGTAAAGCGCCGACCGGGTGCACGTGAGGGGACGAAGCTTCGTGTTTGTTTTCCTTAAGTGCCAACCGGGTGCACACGTGAGGGGACAAGGCTTTGTGTTCGTTGGTTAAAGCGCCAACCGGGTGTGTGTGAGGAGAGGGAGCTTCCTGTTCATTTTCCATTCAAGCGCCAACCGGGTGCGCACGTGAGGGGACGAAGCTTCATGTTTCTTTCGTTAAAGCGCCGACCAGGTGCGCTCTTGAAGGGACGGAACTTCTTAATGTTTTCGTTAAAGCGCCGTCCCCGCGGGGCTTTCCCGCTTTCCCGAAGGTCAGCCACTCTTCCGTCCTCAGAAATGCCCGTGCCCTCTGCCTGCCCGGTAACCGTCTGCATCTTCTCTTCCAGCTCACCATGCCCTTTAAAGAGGACGTGTTGACTCAAGACGAACTACGCAGAAAGCTGTACCAGACCTTCAAGGACCGAGGTATCCTGGACTCCCTCAAGGTATCGGCTTTAGGCATATCTGTTCTGTAACGTTTACAAGTGGAAGCGGTAACAGGGAGTCCGCATTTAAACCCACCGGGTCTTGGTTTTACAAATAATACGATAGGCAGATGGTATTGGGGAGGGACGTTTTAATGTTTTGTATAACTCGTTATTCTGGAAGGCATTCTCAAACGGTTTAGAGTTTGCCCGGTCTTCATATTCAAATAGATTTATTAACTGACATTCAGATAGGAGCGAGTAGCTTGATAAAATGAACACATTTTAGTAAGGTTAGGCTTTTATGAAGCTGGTTTGTAGGTTCCTGAGTTAATACGTGGTTTTGTAATAGTCATGTTGGAATGAACGACATTGACACCATATAGAAAACGTTACGTGTGATACTTACCGTAGAATAGTTTGGAGAATGAGAACTTTAAAAAATACATGGAAAGGTCTGGATATTTAATTTGGGCAGCAAATACTTATTAGTATGAATTAACAGCAAGAAATAGGATTAATAGCAATGGATAGGATTACCTCGAACATGTTTTCATTACTATATACATTTCTGAAGTATATTTTACACTGAAAATGTGATGTTTAGGAAATGTGAGTTTGTTTTTACTTTTCCCTCCCCCATTGTTTTTGTAACTAAAAAAAGACCACCACTTCAGATTCACCTGAAAAATACAGAAAAACATCAAGGAGGAAAGTCATCTCTGATTCAACAACTTATTGGCATAATGGTGTGTGTGTATGTGTGTATTCTTCTTAGTTCAATGTTATATGATAAGCATTTTCCTGTGTCCTTAAACCTTCATTGAAATCCTCATTTTCAGTGGCATCAGGCCCATGTTTGGATGTATGTATAATCTGTGTAGCAGTCCCCTGATTAATATTTAGCTTGGGCAGCAAATGTTTATTAATACACTTTATATATAAATTAACAGCAAGGATATATAAATTAACAGCAAGGAGTAGTAGTTCAAATGTGTTTTCATTACTATATATATATATGTACACACACACACACACACACACACACATATATATTTCAGAAGTATATTTTACACATAAAATGTTGAATAGATTTTACCTAGGTCTATACATCCTACAATTGCATTTCTCATTTTTGCCTAATTAAGTGGCTTTACTAATGTTCTTGTATGACTCTTTATCCTGGAAAATCAAAGGGCATAAGCATTTTTTTAAGGCTCTTGGCTTCTTGTTCTAGAAAGATTGTAATAGTGTATATGACACCAGCAGTTTGAGAATGCTTGTCTCCAATATTATCACGACATTTAAAAAGCCAATCTAAGATTGAAAAGCAGCCTTCATTTTAGTATTTATTCCTTTGTTAATGATGTTGCACATAGTTCCTGGCCATTTGTTTTCCATGGATTGGCAGTTTGTCTCTTGCTCATTCTCATTTTCTTTAGGATGTTAGTGTTTTCTTATTGTGTAAGAATTCTTTTAATAGAAACTATTAAGCTTTTTTGTCATTTTTGTGGTAATACTTTTATTTTGGTGTTCAATTCTAATTTGGCTCTAAAATATTGATGTTATATTTTTATATGGTCAAATCCATTGATTTTGCTGATTATTCTCAGTAAATTTTTCTCCACTAATAGCATGAATATTCACTTTTTAAAGTTTCTTAAAAGGCTTCAGTTTTTATAGTTAACACTTTAACCCACCTGGAGTTAATTGTAGTGTGTAATGCATTACTAGACCTAATGTGGGATGGTTATTGCATTCCTGAATATGGAATTTTTTTTCTTTTTCTGTGTTTCTGGATTAGATTTGGTACTGTTTGGCTTCCTATCTGTAGTTACAATTGACTAATCCTTTCTTAGCTATCCTTGTTCGGCTTTGATATCGGGATTATGCTAACCTTGTTCACTCTATAGCTGCAGTATATTCTTGGGAGAAATGTTTCCTGTTTGCAGCTGGCTGTTTCTGGAATTACAGCTTGGTCAATGGCAGGGCAGAGTTTTACTCTCTCAGTCTGAGCTAATTTTTATTTTCTCAGTTTAAGGACTGTGGTTGGGGTGAGTTCGCTTATTGAATTTTTTAGTGGCCTAACTCATATTCTATTTGGATGTTTGAAAAGAATTTGTATTTATGATTAAGTACGAAGTCACAGATAACTATTAAAGTTTATCAAGGCCCTTTCATATTTTGAGTCTACTCAGTCTGTGAGTTTCTTGAAAGATGTCTCAGAAGGATTCCCAAGTCTCTTCTCTCCCACTTACCCTCCCCCCACAGTAATTGTATTTATTTTTACCTTAGGGACATTTCAAGGTTTAATTATGAATGGGTATCTCTCTCTGCATTGGCTGCTGGAAAGCCCCCAGCCAGTCTTGCCATTTCTTCTAGCAAGTGCTAGATGGCATGCCTTTTGTATTTGTCAGTATGGGAATTCATCTATGATGTCATTTAATTTTATTCTTCTCTTATTTTCCTTTTAACCTGCTTATGTCACTCATTTAAATTTTATCCTATTTCAGTACTTGTTTGCAGGACACCCTGAATCACTTTTGTCAATTAAGCTGGATCTAAATATACTACTTCTTTAGCATATTACATATCTCATTAAATCACCTCTAAATTTTACTGGTGGAGAATGCTGTAGTTTCACTTTCCTTGTTTCATTATTTCTGTTACTGAATGACATTAGATGAGGCAGAACATGCATATTCTGCTCAATATAAATATCTTTTGTACTATAGGATTTTTGATGTATGAATCTTGTTCTGTGCTGGTAGTTATATACTTCTCTCTAGCTGAAGGATAGAAGATAGAAGTATAGCAACTCCTTTTGTTTCTTGCTTGTATTCTATTAATATGAATACATTAGATACTACTTAGTGTTGAACCCCATGGATATAGGCAGCATACTCTTAAGCTCAGCCCAATTATGTTTCCAGCTTATATGCACAATAGATGAGAACAAATATCCAGTAATTCAGTTAATTTAGAGATTTTCTTAAAACCCAAAGGAATAATAACACTAGTTATAACCTTGAAAAAATTACCCACCTTGAACCTAAATTTCCTTATTTATAAAATGTCTTGAGATGTAAATACTATATATGAAAGTGCATGTTAACAAGCCTTCTTTAGGTTTACTGATTTCTCTCTTGCATATGTTATTTCCTTTTGGGGAATTTTATTTTTATCAATATGCTCAATAAACTGGTTTCACCAAATATTGTTTTCATATCCTCCAACAATCCACAGAATTCTGTTGAGGAAGCAGCAGAATTTTCTCTTATGATTGGTGTCTTGACCAAAGGCTGCTGAAATGGGCTCTTAGGGAAGACAAGTAAGAGTTGACATGTGTTCTGACTAACCACCAGTTCACTTGGGAAGCTTTCACTGGTGAAAGCAGACTTCTTTGGGCAGAACCCATGGGCTGCTTGTCTCACAGGGTAAGACAAAGTATGCAACAAAGAAGTTCTAACTTCTGTCCATGGATCTAGAGAACCACTGTGGAAATAAAAGGTTTCTAATTCCTGTGGCAAATCTGTTTATCTCCAGTGCAAAAATCCTGCTAAAAGTGTTTTCCCTCTTGTCTCTTTTCTCTTTTTTGTTGTTGAACTAGACACAACTGAGAAAGCAACTCATTCAAGAATTGATGCACCCTGTATTGAGCGGAGAAATGCGTCCCTCGTCCATTTCAGTGGAAGGGAGTGCCCTTTTAATAGGCGCTTCTAATTCCCTAGTGGCAGATCATTTACAAAGATGTGGCTATGAGTATTCACTTTCGGTTTTCTTCCCAGAAAGTGGCTTGGCAGAAGAAAAGGTAAAGTTTTTCCTTACTGTTTCCGAATTTTCTATTAACAGCCTCCCCCTCGCCCCCACCAAGATGATAATAAAGTGCTGCACATTAGCTGAGTGCTCCTTGGCTGTCTTGGTCCATTTCTAAGTTATTTTTTAGATAATGCACCAAAGGAGTACTCAATTTGATATATCAGTTCCTTGGGATCTTCATTAGTCTTTTGTTAAATTGTGATGTGTAGAATCACGAAATGTTTCAGAGCTAGAATTGATCTTATGTCCCACGTAGTTGACTCAGACTCATAACTGCCATTTATGTTGACTGCTGTGAGCTTGGCACTGGGCTAGTCACACTGCAGGTGTACCTGTGTCCCAGATGAGGAACCAGAGTCTGGAGAGGTGAGTGATTTGCTGAAGGTCACAGGATTTTGAGGTGGCAACATAGGGCAGTAAATCTAGATCTCTAAAATCTAAACTGATGCCACAGTCTCTGTTTCTAGATATTTCTCTTCTTTGTGATTATATAACAGAAGGAATAGATTAATTTTTTAAAAATCCGTGGTGTTCTCAAATATTAAAACACATGTTTATCACTTTTCTAATTATTTTAACTATTCCTCTACCATTACCATTGAACATATATTAGTCATACTTTATTAGTATTTTCAAGGCAGGTATAGCAAACTTTCCATATATTTTTTTTAAGTAGACTTAACTTTTTAGAGCAGTTTAGGTTCACAGCAAAATTGAGCAGAAAGGGAGAGTTCCCGTATGCCCTCTACCCTCATACATGCACAGCCTCCCCCATTATCAACATTTTTACAGTTAATGAGCCTACATTGTGGCATCATTATCACCTGAAATCCATAGTTGACATTAGGGTGCACTCTGTGTTATCCCTGTGTTTTGGCTCTCTTTATCCTATCTGTAATTGACCAAAAGTTTTATATTCAGAAGTTTTAAGAAATATGAACAGTTCTAATATTTGAAAAACTTATAATTTACATATGCTATATTTATTCATTAACAACCAAATTTTACTCAACATTAGGAATTCTTTTTTGGTCCATCAGTCATTACATTTCACAGTTTTATTTATTGAATGAGCAATAGCCAATTATATAGTGATTAGAGCAGTAATTAATCTACCTCACATGATTGCAGGTTTTTACTGTTATAAAATGCCATGCAGAATATTTTCTTTAAAGGAAAAACAATAGAAAATCATGTTAGTATTCTCAGCGTAGATATAGTGATACGTGCTGTACTGGGAAAATATATTAAGAATAGCTACCCAAAATGTTTGTTTAAAACTACTTTCAGTATACTTTAGTTATTCATAGTTGTAAAGACAGTAAAAATTTAGTTTATTTACATTTTGAAGCAATATTTAAAAAAATGATTGCAATTGAAAGGCCCTGGAATTCACTCATGAATTCATTGATTCATCAGATGTTTGAGTGTTTATCATCTGTAAGGCACTAACCATTTCTGTCATTTCTGTTAGGCATATCATCTTCATTGTGAAATATTTGGAGATTAATTACATGATCAAGAAAAAATATTTTATCCATATAATCTCAATGTTTATTGTAATTTATTTAGTAGTATAAGAAACAGCTTCAATTTTATATGAGCAGTTATAATCTTATTTTTTATTTAATCTGAAAATGATTACTAGTCATATTCAGAAACATCTTAATTCATCATTTAAACATTAATGTAAAAATGTCTACTTAATTAATATTTTTTTTCCTTAAGGTATTTACTATGCAGGATCTATTACAACTCATTAAAATCAAGCCTGAATCCAGTCTCTACAAATCACTGGTAGGATTATTTAGTTTTTATAACCTGCTTTGGTTTGTTAATTATACCTCAATAGTTTAATAAAAGTGAAATGTTTTATTTTAATAGGTCTCAGGATTTGATAAAGAAAACAAAAAAGGTAGGAGCTTTCATCTTTATAGAAATATAGTACCATCTTTGTCATGTATTTTTCCTATAAAAGTATGAAACTAAAAATTTTTAGAGGGAAGAATAGGGAATCTAATTTGAATGAAATTATGGTGTGTGTGTGTGTGGTTTTTTTTTTTTTTTTTTTGCTGACAATACCTGACTTTTTGAATAAGCAGAAGAATCCATCTATTATTTTGACAAATGGAGATCATTTCCTCTAAACTTCAATTTTTAAAAAAAATATATTTTATTGATTTTTTACAGAGAGGAAGGGAGAGAGAGAGAGAGAGAAACATCGATGAGAGAGAAACATCGATCAGCCGCCTCCTGCACACCTCCTACTGGGGATGTGCTTGCAACCAAGGTACATGCCCTTGACCGGAATCAAACCCGGGACCCCTCAGTCCGCAGGCTGACGCTCCATCCACTGAGCCAAACCGGTTTCGGCTAAACTTCAATTTTTTAATAGCTCTTAGATACTCAAATAAGATACACTTTGAATAATTATAGAGGTAGTGTTTGTACTTCAGCTGTGTTTTCAAACTTCCAGTAGCATTTTAGGATGAATTTCCTTTGTTCAAAGCTTAATCTGGCTGAAAAGAAACATCAATTGAACTTCAGCTTCATCTAGCATCCTAGTAAAATTTCTGAAACTCAAAAACTATGAATAGCAGACATGTCAGGAGTCCTAGTGGCAAAGTTTGTATAGAACTCTGGGCTAACTGTAAAATAGCTACTGTTAAAATGAAGTGATTTTAAAACTTCGTGACTTCCAATTAAGAGGTTAAGGCCGCGCCCTAACTGGTTTGGCTCAGTGGATAGAGCGTCAGCCTGCAAACTCAAAGGTCCCGAGTTCGATTCCGGTCAAGGGCATGTACCTTGGTTGTGGGCACATCCCCGGTAGGGAGTGTGCAGGAGGCAGCTGATCGATGTTTCTCTCTCATCGATGTTTCTAACTCTCTATCCCTCTCCCTTCCTCTCTGTAAAAAATCAATAAAAATATATTTTAAAAAATTAAAAAAAGAGGTTAAGGCCATCAGAAAATATGTAGGAAGATATTTTGCACCTAACTGTTGTCTATTCCCTGACAGGGACCTATGTCTCTGTTATGAAAACTCACACTCACAAATGAGGTCATATTATAGATAACTGTTTTCTGGTTTGCTTTCTTTAGCCACCAATACATTTTTCTATAGCCATATTTAGACAATTTTTTTAAAGAATGTAGTTAATTAACCACCTGTTGATGGAGGTTTTGTTGTCTTGTTTGGGTTTTTCCATTAGAAGCAGTGTGCAGTGTGTACACCCTTTGTGTCCTTGTGGAAGTGTAGCCGTGTGAATTCCTAGAGGTGGAAAGATTAGGTTAAAGGTCATGTTCATTTTGAATACACAGATATTGACAAATTTGCCTCCCGAGTGATTGAGCCTGCCAGTTTCCCCACTCCCTTGTCAGCACTTCAAGTATGATCAGAGTTTTAATCTTAGCAGTCTTACTGGGGAAAAGAGGATCTGATCTCTTTGTTGTAGTATTAATTTGCATTTGTTTATGATTTTGTTTGTTTATTTGACATTAAAATTTTTATCTCTAAGCTCTTTGTCCATGCCCTTTTAAGAATTTTCTGATTTGTAAGAGCTCTTTGATATGAAAATTAGTGCTCTGTCTCCAAAATATAGTAGCCATTTTTTCCAGCTATCATTTTGTCTTTTGACTTTATTTCATGCCACATATAAGTTCTTAATTTTTATGTTAAATGTTTCTCTTTATCACTTCTAGATTTTTGTGTTGTGCTTGGGAAGGACTTCCCTCAGAAACTATTCTTTAAAAATACATAATGTAAAACAGGATAATGTTATAAACCCAAAATTTATAAACAGTGACTGAGCAATGGTTGAATGAAAGTTGTGAGACCAAATTTATGTACATTGTGTTTTTTAGGTTTTCTCGTGGAGTTTCTAAAAGAAATGGCAGAATATCATCAGGCTAAAGAGACCTGTGACATAGATACTCAGACAAGTCCGATGTTGCCTAGCAAAGACTCCCTTGGTAATTGCAGGCTTGTGTCATAATTTTAGGTTTTCTTTTTGAATGAAGGAAATGACATCCTTTCCCATGTTATCTGTGTTCCTAGACTGGGAGGGATGTAAGCTGCAGGTGAGGTGCTCATTTCCTCTTGTGTCATTGCTGGAAGGGACCAGTCCTATCTTCAGTGCTGCTTCTCCCTCCATGATCACCAGGGTGATGCAAAGGCCCATGTTTTTGTTTGTTGGTTTGAACCTCAACTGGGAGGCTCTTCCCTGCGTCTCATCTAACTTTATCTTATAGCCACTAATGTGAGAAGATCTAGACTATTTACATTGTGAAGAACTAGAGAAGTCAGCGGCCCATCACTTCATTTTATAGTTGAGGAAAATGAGGTCGCCAGACGAAGGAAAAGCAACTTGGAAACACCCAGTGTGGGTCAGAAACTAGAGTCCAACCTTTCTGGTCCATGATCCAGATCCTTTTCCATGGTACAGCCTTTCTACATACAGTACCATCCTGCCTTTAGGCGTATGCTCAGAAGGGAAACAGCTGGCTAAAATGCTGTGATTAATCCTGGCTCCTCCTTACTCATAAGGAGCAATAACTTGTTAGACGATTAGTTCAAAGATCTTAATCTACTTCTGCCAGCCTTTTTTTTTCCTGTGCATACTATTTGGTGGGCACTGGTGTTCACATGGTTGGGATTGCACTCTTGGTGTGGGTTTGCACTCTGTTAACATTTGATTCCAATGCACATTTGGTTTGAGGGTTGTGGGTCTGCTGGAGAGAGCACTGGAATGAGAATCAATAGACCTGGCTTTCGTCCCAGTAACGCTATTGTATAGTTGCTTAGCCTCTGGGAGTCACCTATACTCTAAGGGCACCTGTGTCCTCTGTAAAATGGAAGACTTGAAATTCATGATCTTTGATTCATTTTAAGGTCAGTGTTTTGAACATATGACTAAATTTTCACCAAAGACCAATAAAACAACTCTCTGCTTTGGCACTTAGAGACTGGAAAGAGATGCCAGTGTTTTCTGACTTAAACTTTGCTTTCTTTTTTGCTGACATTTTTTAATCTTTTGTTATTGTCTATAAAGTTTTCGCTGACATTTTATGATGAAAATTTTCAAACATTCAAAAAGTTGAAAATTTACAGTTCACCATTAATTTTGTGTTACACTTGCTTCATCACTTTCTGTCCATCCAGTAATCTATCTTAATTTTTTGAATTATTTCAAAGTAAACCGCAGATATCCCTGCTCACATCCCTGTACTCTTTGCTTTTGGACAGACCTCTTGCTCACCTGACTTCATTCCTCTACCCTAACTGCCTGTGTTTTTTTTAATAGCTGAGAAGCTTCAGCATATTGACGATCAGTTTGCAGGTGCTTGCCCTCAGCATCCAAAGTTAGACTCTTTAGAAAAGAAGTTAAGTGAATATAAGAGAGAAATAGAACAACAGCTTCAGGCAGAAATGCGTGAAAAGGTAAATTTATCTTGTTGCTATTAACAAAAGTGATATTTTTGCTTGTCTTTTCTTTCTTAATCTTAGGTATGTAGGAAAATATCTAGAATCTTCATTAATGAATGTGATACTAGACTGTTGTGCATGGTATTTTTCTTTCCGTTTGATGTCATTTCTTTTTGCCTTTTGAATGAATCCTGATAGGTACAGTGAATGAGATGAAAGTAAAGGTGAATTAAACTAAATATAGAGTGGGAATGTTAAACCTAACCATGGAGAATCTGTTATTATTTTTTTAGTATTTTTATTGGTACTTACAATTATTTGTGATCAATTGGCAGTTGAAGCATTTCAAAAATGCTGAAATAATAAAAATTAGAATGGAAGAGAAAAGAAAGTCTGAAAAGGAAATAGCAAAGTTCTGGAGTGATGTTGAGAAAACTTGTCAAGCAAAATCCGAAGCCCTCCTTAATCGGGAAAAGTTGTCCCTTGAGAGAATTCAGAAACACCAGGAGGTAATATTTTAAAATTGTTTAATGGGTGGCTCTTTCCACAGCTGTTAGTAGATTGGCTCAAAGTCCAGGAGCGAGATGCAACATTTGATGGAACAATTGATGGCTCAGGCCCTAGAGGACCAGTAAGGACTGTGATCAAGAGTGCACATGGGAGAATCAGCCTTGAAAAGGATATGTAGACTTCTTTTTCCGAGACTGCTGGAAGGAAAAGTGGAAGTGAATGTCCATGTCAGAAGTGTGAGGCACTTGCAGTAAATTAGTGGCAGATGTGAGGATTAGGTAGTGACCTTGAGTAGAGGACCAGAGGTGTGGAATGGCTACTGGGGGGGGGGTGGTGGAGCAGAGCAGCTCTCTGAAGCAGACAGGACTGCTAGAGCTGTTTCGGGGTCCCTGCTGGGGTGGGCAACCTGGAATTGAAGTAGAACTAATCAGGTACTTGTAGGTGATTGTTCTGTTACAGCTCTTGGGAGGATTTGGAAGCTCAGTAAGAGCAGAAAGATGGTGGTGGTTGGGGAGTGGAGCTTTATAGAGCTGAATTTATTTGATTTGAGAAAGACAGCCTGTTTAGTTGAAGACATTGGGGTTCAGCATGATGGCGAATGGAACCAGAACAGAGGGTGGATGGCTACTAACCCAGGGAGGAGAGAAGGGAGAGCTACATGGCAGTCTCAGACATCAAGGAGTAGGCCTGGGGATATTGACAGATGGAAGAATAAGAGTGGACTAAGAGGACAGAGTTGCAATTGAACTTCTGGGTGAAGTTGGAAACCAAATGCAGTGTGTTTCTATCTGAGCAAAGGTGAAGATTCCAGGAGTAGAGGGATCCAGGGCTGTAAGTGTCATCCATTTGATCTTGGCACCCAGGAAAGTGACTGGACAGGACGTGGAGAGGTTGAGGGGTGGCGGGAAGTGCGTGTCAGCAGGAGGGATTGGATCCACCCCTTTAGGAAAAACAATTCCTTTCCCAAGGGGGGAGTCGGACCTGATTGGATTGGGTGCATGGTTTCCTATGTACAACCAGAACTACTAATGCCAGGAGATGGTCAAGTAAAAAGCTTCCTCCTGGCATCAATCCTTACTTGAAGCTTCTCAGTAAGACACAGTTATTAATGGTGATTGAACTCCGTCTACAATTTTGGGTAGCAGTTCTGGGAATTGCACTCATTTTAGCTATAAAAATAAATGGAAGCACTGGTCTTCAAGATAATGGATTGTTTTCACACTAACACTTTCATCTTCAAGGTAGATGACTGACTAGATCAGATTAACCAGTTAACAGCCCCAGTCTCCATTTAGTCACGGATTCCCTAAAGTCTCTGGAAATGGTTACCACTCTCAAAAAGGCACCATGTGTTTACTCTGCCACCCGAATGTCTGTCCCCTTCTCTCCCTGTTAAAACTGTCCTGTCCTTCAAACTCCAGCTTAAATGTCACCTCCTGGTACACCTTCTGTGACTCCCATTGATGTTCTCATTTAGGCGTCATCCTGCCATGGAGACTGGACCCTGGTTGTGAAAGCATCACATTGTAGTATGATTGTTTTTCTCTCCCTTAGTAAATTGTGAATTTTTTAAAAGATGGGAACTATAACTATTCATCTTTTCATATCCAGCTCCCAGTGTGCTTTCTGACATGATATTCAGTAAATCCTTGCTCAGTAAACACACAAATAAAAGTGTGGTCTGTGTTTTGGGGCTCCATACCAGCTTGCTTATGCTGAGTCAGAACCCCCTATGAATTGAAACTTTCAGGCAATAACTGCTGAACCATGTGGATTCTGTTTTGTTAAGTTTTATTGTTGAATGTATATTTCGTTTCTTTTTTTAGTTGAAGAATTTATCAAAATTTTAAGTAACAGATGTTAATTAAGTAGAATAATTACACAAGGGATGTTAGGAATATAGGGTAATGTAGCTTAACAGTCATTAGGCTAGGGAGTAAATTCTTGTGTAAGTAGAACAGGCAAAATGCATACCTTGAGGTGGAACCTCTTGAAAGTGAAATTGTTCCTCTCAATGTCTGTACTTTGTCCTCTGGAATGTAAGAAGCAGTTCATTAGTTCAAATCTGTTTTATTTTCTTTAGCTTGCTTGCTAAAAATTAATGCTTTCCTGTACAGATGGAGACAAAAGAAATTTATGCTCAAAGGCAGCTTCTACTAAAAGATATTGATTTGCTAAGAGGCAGAGAAGCAGAGCTGAAGCAAAGAATTGAAGCTTTTGATGTGTAAGTAATGTTTTCATGTTTAATATTCAGAGTCTGTGAGTTTAAAAAGAACTAAATACATCTAATTATTCTAATGCTAATTGCCAATTAGAGTTCTTGTTTGTAAAGGTGCCATCACCTGGTTTTAAAAGGCACAAGTTGAGAGAAACAAAGACTAGGATTTTGCTTTTGAAATATTACACATTGGGATGAATAGCAGAGTGAGACACCATCATCAGGCTACAGTAAAACCAGACCAGTGCTTTGAAGAAGCTAACAACACTTTAAGAAATCATGTTGCACACTTACATTCAGTCATTCAGATCTAACGGTTACATATACATAAAGTAACTGAATTGCAGACATATTTAACTGCTTTGCTGTCAGAGGAAATGGGGTGCCTCTGACTTGACTTGTACTGGGTGAAACTGTGATGTGTGTGTACTTTTTTAAAGCACTCACCAATATTTAATTCTTCACATCTTACCTGCCATTAATAGCAAGCTCACCAGTCTCATTTATGCAATAAGCTTTCTTTCCCGTTAGGTTCTGCTATTGACACTCATAGATACTCTTATTTCATTAAAGGATTTGTGCCTAATCTTCATTAATGTTATTCTCTCATTGTTTTTAGATTTCAGAGAGGAAGAGAGAGAGAAAAACATCAATGGAGAGAGAGGTAGAAACATCAATAATGAGAGAGAATCATTGATTGGCTGCCTTCTGCATGCCCCACAATGGGGATCGAGCCTGCAACCCGGGCCTGTGCCCCTGACCGGAATCGAACCCAGGACCCTTCAGTCCACAGGCCGATGCTCTATCCAGTGAGCCAAACCAGCTAGGGCATGTGTTCTCATTTATATAGGCTCAATTCATTTGATTTCTCCTCTATGCCTAACTTATTACTCTGTTTTTGGCAGTAGTGAAGTGGTAAATTGATCATGAGAGCAAAGAAAAGTGACAAAATTTGGGTGGAGATAGCTCATGATTATATCATCACTTTTATCTCCACTTCCCCTAACTCTTCCTTCTAAGCATGTAGTTTACTGCTCCATTGCTTTACAGATTAGCCAGCAGAGGGAGCTAATGCATAGCGCTTTTATTTCTTAGAATGATCAGCTTTCCCTAGCACAGTGGTTCTCAACCTTCCTAATGCTGCGACCCTTTAATACAGTTCCTCATGTTGTGGTGATCCCCAATTTCATTGTTACAAATTGAACATAATTAAAGCATAGTGATTACTCACAAAACAATATGTAATTATATATGTGTTTTCCGATGGTCTTAGGCGACCCCTGTGAAAGGGGTCGAGACCCACAGGTTGAGAACCGTTGCCCTAGCACTTCCCATGGCTTGATCTAAGTACCTATGAACCTGATTCCCTGGATCTGGAATTGGTTTGTGGTTGATTTAAGGTGTCACTTGAAGACCATTCCATTCTTCAGTATTTGGAAGTTCTCATTGATTCATCTACCTTTTCTTGTTTGGCACTCTTCAATATTCAATCATTAGATTATTAAATTCCAAAATCAAATCTGTCTTTAATACCCATGGGCTAATCAGTTAAATCTCACAGAAACAATCTTACAGAAGAACAAGTATTCAAGTACACTAAAGTTAGGTATGTAGCTTTATTGTAATAACATCATTCTTTCACCTTTGAGTTGATTACGGCCATTTATCATCTCTAACTGTTTTTTAAGTGTGGGTTATCTTCTGTGAAAAAGCACTTTGGTCTGGACACTTTCCCACTCCCTGCAGCCTGGTGCCACCATGCTGCTCCATCTGCTATTTCAGATCCGGCATAACTCGGTCAAGGTCAGTTCATAAAATAGATGGAGGACTCTGGCTCTTTCCATTTATTTCCCAGAGGTGACAGTGTTACAGAAAAAATGGAGAAGAACCAAGCAACGCTTAGAGAGATGGAGTTACATTTATTACGCACGGGCCCAGAGGAAAATGTCTCTCAAATTCTGGGTGAAATCACACACGAAGTTTCCCATATTTATACTATTTTACCTTCTTTGTCTCCCAAATATGGGGTTTTTCCGGTTCCCTTTGCAAGTTCTTAAAGGGCCCTATGTGCTGGGGCTTTGAGACCTTGACCAAAGGCTTGGCCTGATTCCAGCACTGATAACTTCATCTGGGGAAGGTTTAATGGCCTCTCCGCAATGGGAGTCGTCTTATTTTCCTTATTATTTAAGCCAGCAAGCATTTACAGAAGCCAGAAATAGAGGGTTAAAATTTCAAACAATAGCTTTTATATAAGATGGATGCTTCAACAGTAACATGACAGTTTTAGTCCATGGAGCTAAAAATCACGTTATTTTTTCTCTTAAAGTCTTCATTTCAGATACTACAGTTTTTTTAAATCTGCTTTTTATGTTTTTGCTAATTTCAGGTCCCAGAAGATACAACAAGAAAAACATAAAGCTGTGGCTGATGCACTTAAGAGAAGGGAGCTGAATATAAAGAGTATGGAAGAGACCTATGACCAGAAGCTCAAGAGTGAAATTCTAAAGTAATTGTTTGGCATTCTTAAATAAGTAATATGTTTGAATTAAATTGAAGGCAACACTAGTGAAGTAGATAAGACTAACATTTTCTGGTGAAAGTTCATGTTTTCATTGACAGTCAAACCTTTCTCATGAGTATTTAAGATAGTTTTACAAAGTTACAGTACAGAGAATAGCATCCTCTGCTCATTCTTACTCGTAGCTTCTCTAACATGTATTGAGGCCCTTTAATTTGCTTTTATTTTTAGGGCACCTTGAGACTTTATCAGCTCACACTGCTGATAAGCTATAAAAGTGGAATTATAATCACCTTTAGTTCTCTTTTCCTCTACCCCACTCGTACTGCCACTAAGATGGCAATATCTAATAATTTATAAATTATTCTACCTAGTGGTTATAGTGTTTGTCAGGGGACATGTGCCTTGTATTCCTTCAAGATTCTGCAGAGCCAGAATCAAAAGAAACAAACTGAAATTATATGAAGGAAAAAAAAAACAGGGAAAGGAAAATACGGATAACTGGTTACTATGGCTTTCCTATAGTCTGAGTTGTACTGTATTACAGTGACTGATATCTTAGTGCAAAGATATTAAGCCCATATGATAACTTTTCTCAGTATACCAGTGCTCAGTATAGTGTGTGTTCAGTTAATATTCGTTGAATAAATGAATTCTTGTTGAAGAGATGACTCAACTGAGCTGCTCTGGTATTTCTTAATCATTGGCCTCTTTTTACTGCCTTGCCTATAATTTGTCATTGATATTCCATTACATAGTACTTGCACATATTTCTTGAGCTCATTCTTTTTGTAATCTTTATTGTTGAAAGTATTACGCATGTCCCCCTTTTTTTCCTATTGATCCCTTCTAGCCCGCTCCCGCCCCTCCCCCCCAAGGCCTTCACCATCTTGAGGCTTATTTCTTAAAAGAATTCTGATAAAAATATAGTACCTTTCCATATAGTGAATTTGAAATGATGGATGTTATCGCTACATACTTTTATGTCAGCTCCTCGAGTATAGTAGCAAACACTGACATATCTGTAGTTGTTAAACTTTTAGGAATAAATGAATAAGTGTGTATATTAACTTTACACTGCCACATGTATCATGAGCCGTTTGGTATTTGTCTGCTTTGGGTATCCTCTATGACTTTAGCAAGGGTTGGAGTTCACAGGATACTCAGCACAGGAGTGCTTCTCTTCTCTCCCCCCCCCCCCCCCATCTCTGAACCAAAAAGTCTGCTAGTAGCAGTTGGTGGAGATAAGTAAAACTGCTTGAAAGTGTGCCTTTAGTATTGCTAACCCAGACATGAAGGCGACCGTTGGCTCAGAACACTGTGCCCAGCTCCTGAGGCAAAAGTTCTTCTGGTGGGGGGCAGGGCAAGGCAGATGGATGGGATGTCACTGACTTCTTATCTTTTGGGATTTAGAGTCAGTTGTATCAGTGTAAATTTAACTTAATTTACTTTTTTGTGTCAGTCCAGACCACTGTGGAATAATTGTTCTCAGAACCTCAAAATAACATGAGTTTTCAGGACCCCGTTTATAGGATTGCAGCAGGCTTTTACTGGATCTTTTATATTCAGAATTTGGATCTCTGGCCTTAAGTACTGAGAGACCTTGAAGTTATGTATGGCCATGTTCATGCCCTTAAGCGCCCGGTGCTACACATTGATAGGAATCTGTCCATGAAAGTGACAAGAAACTCATTTTAGTCATTCTGATTCTCAGGTATCAACTTGAGCTGAAGGACGACTACATTGCCAAAACTAACAAACTAGTTGAAGAAGACAGAAAGAATAAAGGTGATTCATTGTTACTACAAAATTATACATTTTTTTGCCCTTTCAATTTTACAAAATTTAAAAAATAATCATTGTCTTTCACTATGTTTTTGCAAACCTTCCTGTTTAACCTTTTGTGTATTTACAAAGGTCAGTTATTTACTGGCAGGATTTTACCCATCTTTATAAGCATTTTTTAGAATATGTTTTTATTGATTTTAGAGAGAGGAAGGGAGGGAGACAGAGAGATAGAAACATTTATGAGAGAGAAACATCGATTGACTGTCAACCAACTGAGCAACACAGACCAGGGCAAAATATAAAATATATATTTTTTAAACAAGAAAAGTGGTATATTAAAAATGATGCTTAACCTGAGAGAAAGTAGGGTATTGAGGATTTTTTTCTCCCATCTACCTCCCTCCCTTCCTCCCTCCCTTTTGGCAGTCATCAGCTTGTTAATTATATTTATGGGTCTGTTTTTGTTTTGTTTATTTTTTATTTTTTTAGATTCCACATATAAGTTAAATCATACGGTATTTGTCTTTCTCTGTGACTCACTTCACTTACCATAATACCCTCTAGGTCCATCCATGTTGTTGCAAATGGCAATATTTCATTTTTTTCTGTGGCTGAGTTTACTAGTAATGATGCAGTGAACACAGACAGGGGTGCATACATATATCTTTTCAAATTAGTGTTTTTGGGTTTTTTTTGGGTTATATGCCAAGAAGTAGAATTGCTGGATCATATGACAGCTCTATTTTTAATTTTCTGAGGACCCTCCATACTGTTTTTCATTGTGGCTGCACCAGTCTGCATCCCAACAACAGTGTATGAGGGTTTCCTTTCTCCACATCCCTGCCAGCACTTGTTGTTTGTTGATTTATTGGTGATAGCCATTCTGATAGGTTCAAAGTGATATCTCATTGTGGTTTTTACCTTGAGAGACTTCATTTTTTACTTACGGAAAATTTTATTTTAACTTCTCTGTTCCCTGTGACCCGGTTTCTTATTTCTTTAACTTCTAATATATTTTTATGCTTCATGATATTTTCACTTCTCTATAACCCCCTGAACTGTTGTAGAATTGGCCCAGGGCTAGGAAAGTTGAATAATTTTTCAATCTCTAGGTATTTTACCTCTCAGTATATTTCTAGGAACTTGCCTGTGACAAGAAGTTGAACTTCAGTGGAAATTTCAAAGGACTTCTTGGAGTAAACCAGGGCTGGGTACTTGATGGAGACCTGTAAGGACACCCAGCGTGTGGCTGCTCCTCTGTGACTACCTTGTGGAGACTAGTACTTCTTTAGGAATTAGTACCATTATGTAGTCAGCTAATTATTTTTTGATGATATATCTGCATAGTAGACTTGTATTAGATAAAGTAAAAATGACAAAATAGTGACTATAAAATCATAAGACATCTTTGTTTTTAAGGAAATTCAGATCTTTGGGCATGAGGGCTCTGAGCACCTGGTGTAACTCTGGTTGGTATGTGTAATAGGAGGAAGCTCACCACATATGTGACCGTTAGGACTAACTTCCATCACCTGTTGGGTAAAAGGGCTTATTTCTTACTTTCCCTACTGATTTTGGGCTCTGACACCTGCTATTTTAGATGATGAAATAATGGTCATTAGGTCTGACATTGGCCATAAATTCTTAAATGAGTTCTGTATCCACTAGAAAAACATGATATTTAATTGGTTGGCTCTCTATTTCAGAAAAAGCTATACTTTTGCAAGAGCAGCTGTTGGCTCTTAATTCAAAAAAGGAAGAACTCTATCATTGTGCAACTCGTGTGAAAGAACTTGAGGTAATTGCTAAGCCTATTTTTTGAAATAGATGTTAGGCAGTATATGGAATTTTAGTGTCAATCATACATAACTTGTTACTGGACTAAGAAGGTGGTGGCCCAACTTAAATTTTCCTTTCAGTCTTAGTCTCCTAGGGAAGCAGGGGAATTACATCCTTTGGGGCCTGGAGTTCTGCTTGAATCCTGTGTCTCTCCCTTACTGCTTGTGTGCCTCAGACAAGTTCCTTAACCCTTTGCACTCCGAACCATTCTGGACATTGGCTACCAGCTACTCGACGCTACTTTGCGGCGGAAACGTGCATTTACAGACCCTCGTATTATTTAGTATAATTTTGGAACCAAGTAACGTATTATAATGATATTGGACTTATATGAATTGGGTGACATCGAGGAATGTATATTTGCAAAAAAAACAATATTTTATTGTTTATAATTTTGTACAGTATGATAAGTTTTGTAACACTCCCCAATATGCATTGCAGGCTGATTAGTGCATGTTTGACAGTAATAAGTGGTTTGACGCCTGCCACCAGGTGTTTTCCTGTTAGAACACACAATGCAGTCCCGTTTTCTTTGTCCCACATCGGGAATATGTAGTTTATTGTTTAATCCGACACAAAACCCGCTGACATTTCTTGTATATATCTTAGTAATTTTACGATATTTTGATTTAATTTCTTGTGCCATTTCAAGATAAAACTTCAGGGAAACATGCATGTCTCAAAAAGTTGCGTTGAAATAACTCAATTCCCCTTAATCACTAATAAACTGCAATGTCCCGAGAGGGGACATCCGAGTGATATGCTAGAATTCCGATGTCCCCTGAGAGGGGACAGCGCGGAGTGCAAAGGGTTAACATTGGGGTGCTGCCCACATTCCATGGTGGTTGAGGTTCCTTGGTGTGCTGATTTAAGTGCCTAACCCAGCCGTGGGCAACAAACTACACTACGGCCTGCTGGATCCGGCCCGTTTGAAATGAATAAAACTAAAAAAAAAAAAGACCGTACTCTTTTATGTAATGATGTTTACTTTGAATTTATATTAGTTCACACAAACACTCCATCCATGCTTTTGTTCCTGCCCTCCGGTCCAGTTTAAGAACCCATTGTAGTCCTCGAGGCAAAAAGTTTGCCCACCCCTGGCCTAACCCATAGCAGGTGGCCAGTGCATTTTAGTTTCTGCCTCAGCCTCTTCTTCCCTTCCTATCAGCAGAAGGTGAAAATTCCTATCATTACATTGGGACCTTACAGGTTAAAACAGAATGAAATGTGTTTTTCACATGCCACTTTACTTTCCTTCTGTTCATCACATGTGCTGTCTGAAGGACAGAGCTAGAACTTGACATACCTGAATATATCGTGCACATAAAATGTATTTTTGCAGCTGCAATGACTTATTTGAGAACTTTGTAGGCGTTTGTATGCAAACATGAGATGTACAAAGAAAAGGAAAGCGCCTACAGCATGTTTGTGATAGTTCACTTTTTCATATTTGAGAACTGCTACAGTCTATGATTGCTATGGGACTTTAGTTGCATCTTGAAAACGGGTGATAAACTTAATCAGAAGCACTTGCTTTGTAGGCCAGGATTCTGCATAAGTATAAGGTTGGATGAACTTCCCCCGTGTCAGGCTCTTCTTACTGCAGAGAATAAGACTTCTGTCCAGTGACCTTAATTACATTGTGATGCCCAGCTTAAAGCAACCCTCCAGCTTTTGCGTAAGCAGTACTGCAGTCACTGTTCATTGAAAAATGCAAGTTGTTTTTCAATTCTAGCTTGAGCTCGAGTCTCTCAAGTCCCAGTGCTTGGCAATAACCAAGCAAAACCACCTGCTGAATGAAAAGATGAAAGAGATGAGTGACTATTCACTTCTAAAAGAAGAGAAACTAGAACTTCAGGCTCAAAATAAATTACTTATGCAACAACTGGAAGAGAGCAGAAATGAAAACGTGCATCTCTTAAACTGTATGTCTTTTTCCTGATTTGTATGTCTTTGTAATTCGTATTAGCTTAGTATTATGAAACTGCTTGGTAATACCTGTAAAGGGAGGCTTCAATCAGAAAAATTTTATGCACTTAAGATTCTCTATTTGAAGTTACTGCCTTTTTGCTTGCTGTTATATTAGTAGTGTCACTAAGAAGAAATATTTTTAAACTGTACAAATCTGCCTCTCTGGATTGTACCAATTTCCCCTCACCCTCTGCTGTTCAGGTTTGGCCAGTGGGGTCACCCTCACGGCTGGGAAGGAGGGATGAGAGTGAGGTGAGGTGGTTGTTATCCCCTCCCTGCCATTCCCCCCCCCCCCAAACTGTGTACATTGGCTGTGGGCTGGCCCTGTGCCTCTCCTCTCATCCAGGTAAGATCCCAGGGCTTGCGGGGTGGCCTCTCATCAGCACTCTGTGCCTATGCCAGCTCATTCTCTCCACTTCTGGGAATTCTTCCCTCCCTGACCCTCTAGGCCAGTGGTTCTCAACCTTCCTAATGCCGTGACCCTTTCATACAGTTCCTCATGTTGTGGTGACCCCCCAACCATAAAACTATTTTCGTTGCTACTTCATAACTGTAATTTTGCTACTGTTAGGAATTGGAATGTAAATATCTGATATGCAGGATGTATTTTCATTGTTACAAATGGAACATAATTAAAGCAGAGTGATTAATCACAAAAACAATATGTAATTATATATGTGTTTTTCGATGGTCTTAGGCGACCCCTGTGAAAGGGTCTGTCAATCCCCAAAGGGGTCTCGACCCACAGGTTGAGAACTGCTCTAGGCCCAAGGAGGGTTAACAGCATGGCCCCATAACTAGCCCAGGGAACTACACCATCTTGTGGCTACCCTACATGAGTTACCCTTTATTAGAGGGTTCTTCAGTGACTGAAATGGAACTCCATCTGCTGCCTGCTTGGACCCCAAGTACTGCTAATGTATAGATCAGATAGTACCCAGGGGTAGTCATCAACAGGTTCTGACGGAGGGCTCCTTCTGTGCCTTCTGTGAGTGGTAGAGAAAAGAGGTGGGCTTTCAAGTTAATTTGAGGATTTGAAAGAATTTTTTTAAAACTTGGAGTAGGAAGAGTAGTGAAGTTTGCATTTGCATGCATTAAATTCTGAAATTTGAGAGTCAGGATTACTCTTAGTCCATTCCAAAGAATTAATATACTGTTAACTACATGTGTACAAAAAAAGAGAAAGAACAATTTAAAATCTCCTTAGCTGCTTTTGCTAAGTGAAATGAGAAAACTTACTGTTGATAATCACTAGGCTTTTTTACCTTCTTAGGCATAGCTCAGCCATCTCCTGAGCTGATAAATTTGCAGAAACAGTTAAAGAAAGCAGAAGCTACTATCGTGTTAGGGCATAAGGAGTTTGAAAACCACAAGGAAGCTATGCACAGACAGCTGCAAAGTGAAGTGAGTACTGCTCTTTGGTTGGCCAGCTGTTAGGCCAGTCCACTGTGTACACATGTAAACTTGGCATATGTCATGCCATTGTAAATCAGATTGATTTTATCATCAAAAATTACTCCCCCACTATGCTAAGGTATCCTTTTCATCTGAGAAAATGCTCGAGTGATATGACTATATTCATAACAGTAATAAAATCCGAAGGAAAGCAAACTCATATAAATACAAAATTGACCAAGTCCCAGTGGTGCCCACTAGTGTGTCTCTTGGTTCTTGCCCCTGTGACTTAGAACTGTTGACACACTCTGATGTCTGCCTCATGCCCTGTAGAGCTGTTCTTTGAGATGAGTGAAAATGGAGGTGGGAAACTTTTGTGCTCTGTTGTTTTCTAGGGCCCTGTGGATTACAGGCATAAAGCTGTTCAGAATGGGCAAAACGGAAAAGAGAAGAATAAGCCCAATAAAAGACTTGTTCCTTTTGAAGTGAACTGGGATTTCTTTTACATTGATTTCTTTCCCTTCTCTAAATCTTTTCAGATTGAGCATTCTGCAAAGCTGAAGGCCCAGATAATAGATTATGATGCCTCTGTAAAGAGTTTAAATATGCAAGTGGCTGACTTAAAATTGCAACTGAAACAAACTCAAACAGGTTAGAAACATTTTTAACCTATAAATGTGTACATGTATGTGTAAAACTTCTGATGTATGTGGAAATATAATGATCATTACTGAAATTTTAGTACTTCTCAGTAGGGGAAAAGCCATAGAAATAAGCCATCTTAGAAGTAAAACTCCCTGTCCATTTCAGGAATACCAACCGGTCATCAGCTAACGTGACTTGCTTTTATAAGTTCCCCTGTGGCTTGGGAGAGTCTTATACCCCAAACAGCAAGGTGTGGTGATGATGTACCTCAAATTTATTATGGACCTAGGCTTTTCTTTTATATTTGTTACCCTGATAATAAGATCAATCTGACTCTTTAGTGGTTTTACATGTTCCTTGGGAGATGAGTAAGCATATGGGAGAAGTGGGTGGCTTTTGTCACATTGGCATACATAACATTGATTATATATAATGTTTTTGTTTTTGCACCCTGATTTTGAGGTTAGTTGATTGACCTTGGGCACATTTAACTGGGACACATCAGACACTTGGAAGGGTTACTGCTATTATGTTGTTATTGCATGTTTTCCATGAGGATGCGTGCTATCTGCCCCTTCTGACTTCATAACTGAAGCTGAGCTACCTGTTTTGCTGCTTTGAAGCTCAGAGGAAGTTTCTCTGTGTTAGCAGTTGAACTAGTTTCCACACTTCCTGGTCTTGAGCCTCCCTCAGTTCCTGTTTGCACTCTTTCCTCCTCAGTTCTTGCTCTCTTCTCCCACACTAGTTTTGTTTTTATCTCTACTCATTTCTACTCCTTCCTGTTCCTTATTTCCTCTCAATTTGCCAAACTGCCCACAGCTGAAATCACAGTGATCTCGAATGATGAAAAATAGTTTGAGGATGGAACCTTTTCAAACACATTCGTTACTCTGGAGGCATTGCCGGAGAGTAGCCGCCACAAGACTGGCTGTGCATGTACTGGCTTTGCTTAGGGAGTCCCAGCGTCTATACACCTCACTCACTACTTGTGTGACCCAGCCTCAGCCCCTATCTGTAATGTGGGAGGAGGAGAGTTGTTAGCCTTGTTGTGGCTGCAGTTCCACACACCCTTTTCTGAAACTTGGGCCCTACGGTGGTTTTGCCACAGCCTTGGGAGTTCCTTTAGTGAACCATGTTTGCAGTCAAATGTATGACTGTCCTTGCTGGGTAGAATAAATAAAGATTATGAAAGGATTTGCATCAGTTCAGGTCAAGTTTATCAACCAAGTGAGTTCAGGTCCGCTTAGGCTTTGCAACCAAATAAATTATGAATAAGTTCTCAGAGCTTTTTAGATATTAAGATTGTGTATTATGGATCGTGAAATAATAATTATGTATTAAGAAAGAAGGCCTAAAAAAGGCCTATGAAGCTGTAGCTGGTACATAAAAGCTCCCAATAAATGCTAATAAATAATTAGTATTACCATGGCTTCATAAATTGTTTAGTGTGCATGTTTGTTCTTATTACTACCTCCTTTCATTTTTCAAAAAATAATTCTCAAGCATATTTGAATTTTCTCTGCTCATTCATCACATTATCTCTGTGTAACCTGCAGCCCTAGAGAATGAAGTGTACCGCAATCCAAAGACAGCTCTGTTCTCTCGTTCTGCCAGCGGATTCATGGGGCCTCCTAAGGATGAAAGAAACAGGAATCTCTTGAAAAACCTTCTCAAACAGGAACAGCTGATGGCAGACACAATTGCAGCAAGGGTCTTAAATTATACAAATGCAAGCACGGATGGTAGCTCCCCAGATTCTGAAATTGAGTTTGTAGCCAGCACCAAAGCAAGAATGAAAGAGCTAGAGCGCGAGGCTGAAAGCTTAGAAAAAGCTTTCCTAGATTACCGTGATAGAGTTGGTCAGTACCCTGCCGCTAGAAGCCCAGTAACATCCAGGAGTCTGCCACCTGTGCACTTGGAAGAAACTCTCAAGAACATCCTTTCAGGTTCCTCAGAAAGACGTATTTTTGCAGAGGAAGCAGCTATGCCCAAGAATCCTGCAGGCGGCGTGGTAGAAGCACTGGGCGATGCAGTCTCATGGCTCTGCAGAGGCTCTAACAGACGCCTTTCCTCCACTCCTCTTGCTAGACGAAGCCTTGAAAGTGAAATGTATCTGGAAGGTAAGCTTTTGCAGAAAGGGTTGCAGGACTTGGATGATCCTCAGTGGACCTCTTATCTGAGTAAGAGGGAACCCTAGACAGGAGGAAGGAGCGAAAAGCTCGTGCTTGGCTGAGCCTCGGAAAGCCCAGGGCCTGAGAAATCTCTAGTTGTGTCCTCACTGCACCTCTGGTTGCCTGCTTACCAGCAGCTTCTCCCCTATGGCACAACATTGGTGTGGGAAGCAATGGGATAGAGTGGCAAGTTCCAGCATTTTGCTTGGCATGCAGCTGTGTTCAGAGAATAACAATGGCTTTCCCCTTACTACTGATGAGTTTTATACATTTTATTGTAATCACTGCAATTTCATTTAGGTGCTTGAATCATTAATGCTATAGGTTATTTATACATCATACTCAACTGTTTGCAAGGATAGATAACAATTTCTTTTCAAATTAATAGAACTTAGAAACCACGTAGCTTTTTTTCTCCGTGTAATTTATTCTTGCCCTGATATCTTCTGCCCCTTAGGTCTGTGCCAATCCCAAGTTGCTTTTCCCAGTTCTTGTCCAGAAAGAATGCTCCAGACTTCACCAACTGAGTCTAGGCACAGCCTCTCCTTCCATTCGCTCTCGAGCTCTCTGGAGCAGAAAGCCGAGTAAGTCCCATGTTCTGATTGGCCCAGCCAAGTCTGGTTAGCTAAATGGGGTCTCAGCCCTGACTTGTGTGGTGTTTTTATTTATTTATTTTCTAAAAAATGTATTTTTATTGATTTCAGAGAGGAAGGGGGGGGGAGAGAGAGAAAAAATACAAACATCAATGATGAGAGAGAATCATTGATCGGCTTCTGCCTCCTGCACACCCCCTACTGGGGATCGAGCCTGCAACCCAGGCATGTGCCCTTGACCAGAATCAAACCCGGGACCCTTCAGTTCGCTGGCCAACCCTTCAGTCCGCTCGCTGATGCTCGCTTTACTGAGCAAAACCAGCTAGGGCTTGTGTGGTGTTTTAAAGTGATGCTCAGGACCACGTGGAGTGTAGAATTTGCAGTTAGATTGCAAGATGATGTGTGATCTTTGAGAATCTGAATTACGTGGGGAAAATTCCTCTTAGTAAATAATTTCTCTTTGTTTGCTAAACCTGATGTGTGCACTATGGTGGCATTAAGCATCTTCATAGTTCCATGAATAGACTCGGTGTATAGAGATAAAGCAACATACAAAACTTGCAAAAGCAAATAAATTCAGTTTATTTTTAAACTTGTAGTTTCACGCATCATTGAAAAGTCATTTAAAAATATTTTGGGCCTGGCTGGTGTGGCTTGAGCATTGCCCCATGAACCAGGAGGTCACGGTTCCATTCCTGGTCAGAGCACATGCCTGGGTTGCAGGCTTGATCTCTGGTAGGGGGCGTGAGGAAGCAGCTGATCAATGATTCTCTCTCATCATTGATGTTTCTGTCCTTCTCTCCTTCTCCCTTCCTTTCTCTGAAATCAATAAAAACACTTTAAAAAATATTTTGGTATTTAAGTCCAAACAAAGAAAATTCTAATTTGTCTATTGAGATAAATTCTGAATTGATAGTGGGTTGTAGGGTCTGACTATTGAAGCAGAATGGAGTAGATGTATGTAAAAGCTAGGCTGTGGGTCACCCAGGCTGGGATTGAGTCACATGTGGGACTCCTGTCTGTGCCTGATCCTTATGGAAGGAGACTCGGATTCCTTAGTTCTGTTCTCTAGGCTGGACATCTATCTGCATATCGATTCAGTAACAGTGTACAGAGTTGAAAACTGGCGCATGTACCCATCATGGTTCTAATGCATGTAATGTATATGTATTTACATTGCTCTCTTAGGATAAAACCAAGAGGAGAAACAGGGCACCCATGTGGGAGTTAGGGCTTGTAGTATTGCATCTTCAGCTGACTCATGTTGATTCTGTATAGAATTTGTTCTTTTCAAAAAATGTTTTGTGGTTCTTGAAGAAATAAACAGCATTGAGAGTGTCAACAATAGTGCCTGCCTCACAGTGTAAGGTGGTTCTGCAGAGTGCCCGAGCTAATGTCTTGATTGCTGGGAATGATGCCTTGTGCATGGAGAGTGCCCAGTGCAGGGCAGCTCTCATTCTCACTGAGCACAGTTCATTCTCTAGAGCCTTTTCCAGAGTCACAAAGGCTTTTCATAGTCCTGTGCTCTTGGTTTTTACCCTATTATAGCTTCACACTCATGAATTTTATTTTTCCAACCTAGTCTTTATCAAAGACAAACTGAAGTCCAAGACAGAAGTGAATTTTCAGATGTGGACGAACTATCTTTTAAGGATGAGGAACTTGAATCATCTTTTGAATGTAAGTTCAAATGTAAGTACTGGTTTTTAAAAGTTGAAAATGTAGAAAGCTTAAGTTTTGGTGAAACATACCCATTGTTATAAAAATCAAAGCAGTTATAAATTACAACATTTGTATTTTGTGATAAAAACATATTGCTTTGTTTTTATATCAAAGATTTTCAAGGGTACATTTGAGTTCCATTTTTTTTAAAATTTCAGGATAACAAATAATTTCAAAGTTGGAGCTAGTCCCATAAGTGAACCCTTCACTTAATTTGCCAAGTTTGGGATTACTTCAGATTTAAAATAAGTGATTTTTAAATTTGTTTTATTTCTTTTTATGGACTTTGAAGGTGCCAAGTTATTTCCTTTAAGTTATACAGATTCTGTCGACTGCCTCAGATGTAGAAAACTCATTCTTAGTGAAAGAATGGAGGTGAAAGTATATTAGCTTCCTTGTCTGGAAACTGGAATCCTTGTTCTGTAGGAGCCTACTGCTTAAGTACAAAATTGGGATGTAGAGTCAGTTAGCTCTGAGGTTCTCTCTAGCCTGGGAAATCTTTATATTTGTATGTAACCTACCATTTCGCCATTGAGCTTCATCACCAAGTCTGAAAGTATATTTTGAACAATTAAATGAAAGGCCTTAGTAAAACTTGGAAATTTTTTGCAGCTAACCTTAACAATTGTGTTAACGCCTTGCTATTTAAATGGAGTTCAAATAATTGTCAGCAAGCCAGGTGAATTCTTCTGTCACTTTCCTGTTGGGTTATGAATCTAGTTTTGAAAACAAATCTAATTCTTTAAGAACACTTCGAGAAGCAAATACATTGGCGAGTGGTTATGCTGAAACGTCTTAGGATTAATTCTGTAGGGAACATTCTGGCCTGGTTGCTTTGGTTGAGACTTGAGCGTTCCACGATGAGTTACCCCTACATTGCACTGCCTTCTCTTGCTGTTGCAGCGGACATGCCAATGCAGTTTGAAGTGAATGGCCTCCACCCTGGTGGCGACATGTCTTCCTTGGGCGCGGCTGCAGCCGCTCTGCCTAACAGAGCTCTCTCCTCTCAGTATCCAAGTAAGTTTTCCTTGGTGGTAACTACAAGTAGTATGATGGGTACTGAACACCAGTCTGTGCCCTGTAAGTTATTTCATGTATTGTGGGAGTACTTACTGTGAGCATAAATTATTCAAAGTCTTAGTGTTGGGGTGTTAGCAATGTTAATGACATTTCTGAAGTAACTCCCAATCTGAACATGTAAAGAGGAGAAAGCTGTGAAGGAAAGGCTTCTCATTTATTCTTCCCGGGCCAATGGCTTTTAATATGTTTTCCTTGTCCAAAGTCTGACAGAGCAGTTACCTTTCTGCTTAAGACACTTTAGCAAAAACCATTCCATCTTGAGAAATTAGAGTGTAACAATGAAATGGTGGTTAATACCCATATACATCTTCAGTATGATTGGTACGTTAATATTTGTTTCCTTCCTTCATGTCTTTAAAAATTAGGACAGAAAAACCTTTATATGTCAGTTTTCAGAAGAACTGATGATACTGGAGGAAAAGTATTTATCAGACTTGTCTGGCCCACTTTCTCTTTTCTTTTAGCTTCTCCAGCTTACCCACTTCCCTCACCAGTGTGGACGCACAGGGAGGAAAGCGGTAGGGGGGGACTAGAGCTTTGTTCCTGCCAGGTCCTTTTCTCCTTGAACCAAAGGGTTTAAGCCTTAAACTTGAAAGGAAATTCCTCAAGTAAAACTACCTCTTGTCCTCCCAGTGTTTGGGCAGGACTATCATGCCCAAAACCTATGTGTGCAAAGCTTCTTGTAAGTAGTTTCTTGGTTTAAGTCATCATACTCAGGAATTTGAGGAATTGCTAAAAGAAGCAGGAGACTCTGAAAGGGTTGATGTTGCTGATTCCAGAGTAAATCATTCTGGAAAACACTCATTCAGTGAGACTTGATCAAGAACCTTCTGTGTCCTGGGCGCTGGGCATACTGCAGTGGGCCAACCCAAGCCCTTGCTTCATGGAGCTTCTAGTGGGGAAGTTGGACAGTCAGCCATCACCGAGGACCTCCGATGGGTACCCAGTAGTGGCAGTGGCCACCTAAGAGTGGATGTGGTAGGCATTTGGCAGAGACCTGGGTGAACAGGGAATAAAAATAACAATACAATAAGGGAAACAACCGAGTTGATAGGTGTTCTGCCTCTGAGATGTAATGTAAATTATAATAATAGCTTTTAAAATTATTCTTAGTGTGTTTACATCGATGATTGAAAGATTCTCTTATATCATCATTTCCCCTGCTCATCTGGGTACAAAGGGAAATGAAAAAATCTGAAACTTGCTATCTTTGAGGTGCCCAGTGGAAATGCTGCTTTTCTTTGCTCTTATATCCAAAGAGGTTTCTGTATGTTACTCTGCATCTACAAAGTACAGTCATGCACTGCTTAACAGCTGGCATATATTCTGAGAAATGTGTCCTTCAGGGATTCATCGTAGTGCCAAGATCAGAGTGCACTTAGGTAAACCTAGATGGTACAGCCTCCTGTATATCCAGGCTGTGTGGTCTAGCCCAGTGGTCGGCAAACTCATTAGTCACCAGAGCCAAATATTAACAATACAATGATTGAAATTTCTTTTGAGAGCCAAATTTTTTAAACTTAAACTATATAGGTAGGTACATTGTTATTCACTTAATTAGGGTACTCCTAAGGCTTAGGAAGAGCCACACTCAAGGGGCCAAAGAGCCGCATGTGGCTCGCAAGCCGCAGTTTGCCGACCACGGGCCTAGCCTATTGCCCCTTGGCTACAAGCCTATACAGCATGCTACTGTACAAAACACAAGATTAAATCAAGCACAAGAGAAAATGATGCCATCAAGTGACATGGTAATGAACATGAGGTATATGAAGAATGCTGTCCGCACAACATGGGATGCCATTTTATAGCAAACTTTTTTTATCAGTAGAAATAATATAAAATAATGATAAAATGTATAGTGTAGTAAATACATAAACCAGTGACATGGCCATTTATTATCATTATCAAGTATTAGGTACTAGACGTAGTTATATGACTGGTAGCACAGTGGATTAGTTTGCATCAGCATCTCCGCAGACACATGAGTAATGTGTTGCGTTACGTTACCATGTGGTGATGGCTGCACCACTAGGCAACAGTGATTTTTCAGCTCCATTATAATCTTATGGGACCACCATCATATATGTGGTCCGTTGTTGACCGAAATTTTGTTATGCAGTACATGACTGTATTCTCAGCAAAGATGTAGTCCTTTTTTTCTTTATCTTTTAAAGTCAAGCAACCAAACAGCATTTCTATTTTGAGGTTGCTATTCCATGTGATAAAGTGATGCCATTTAGGAGTAACCATTCTTCCAGCAGCAAGGAGGAGATTGCATTTCTGTCTGTGGAAATGAGCAGCTGTCTCCTCTGATATTTGAATTTCATAACCAGGACTATGAGACCGAGAAGACTGTGTTTCCTCTGTCCTGTTGATAAAACTAACTCAGTTTCTGACAGGGACTTGGAACAGGGCAGAACAAAAACCTTTAAAGTCCTCTGGTGAACCTGTGAAGTTGGATCAGCAGGCCAACACAGTCAATTGAGAATGGAACAGGGGCACCTGCAAACCAGTACTGCATTTGTTGGAAAAACTGATGCTGGAAGCTACCTGCTCTTTATTTTCTGCCCCTTTAGGTGCAGATGAGAAAGAAGTTAGAGAAGAGAGTGAAGAAGAAAGAATATGGAACATGCTGAAAGAACAAAAGCAGAGAGAAGAAAAAAGGCAAAGTGAACAGAAAGCTTTGGAAAAGGAACGAAGAGAACTAGAAAAACTGGATCAAGAAAGGGTAATAGTTATAGCTCAGTTCTCCATGTTAGTTTCTGCATGGTACACCTTTATTGTGAGTCTTTAGTGTCCCCTAAAGACATAGCAGTAGGGTAACTTTCAAAAAGCCTGCTGCAGGCATCCTGATCCTCTCCTGTGCTTCAGCGCACCGAGAAAGGGAGCTTTGCAAGCCTGTGGGCATGCACTCTCAACTGGTCCTAAAAACACACCTGGAAAGGGGGTGGACTCTGCTTTGCTATAGATCTTTCCTGTATAAGTGGGGTTTCCAGGTCAGCTGGCTGGGACCAGAGGAAACCCGGGAGGTGGCTTCCTCAGGCTGCCCTGCCCTCCTCCCTCCTGATTGTCTTTGCCCTTCTATGTCTGGATTCTGGTCCCAGACAGATAGATTACTCTGCCACTTTGCATGCCTGCTGGACCTTACATAGATTAATCTTCCGTATCATGTTCCTTGAACTCCTGGTTCATTTGGTCTAGAGCACAAGACCCTTTAGGCAAAGTAATCCCATTCTTCATTACATGACTTGTCTGTCCCCCTTTGATGGTAGCAATGACTTCAATGAAAAAAAAAAGGAAATGGTTTTCTGGTGTGTACATTTTACGTAAAGAATCAGAGTTATATATAGTAGTAAGTGTTTTTAAAATGTATGTATTTCCTATTTTGCTGGCCATCTATTTGACAGCGGATAATTGAAGAGTCTTTGAAGACTGAAATGGAGAAAGAATTAGAAGAGAGTGTTCAAGAAGAAATGAAAGACAAATCTGCTTGTGGTGAAAATGCTTTGGAGAAATATATGAAAATCATCCAGGAGGACCAAGACCCGAAGACGGTGGATAAGGTACTGATGCTGTAAACGGGAGGTTTGTGGGTGGGGGTGCGAGGGCTTCTGTGGTTTGTTAGAAAACTTTGGGATTGGAGTCTGCCTTCTCTATCCCATTGTATGCCGTAAGTGTCTGTAGATCAGCAGTTCTCAACCTGTGGGTTGCGACCCCTTTGGGGGTCGAACGACCCTTTCATAGGGGTCGCCTAAGACCATCGAAAAGCATATATAATTACATATTGTTTTTGTGATTAATCACTATGCTTTCATTATGTTCAATTTGTAACAATGAAAATACATCCTGCATATCAGATATTTACATTACGATTCATAACAGTAGCAAAATTACAGTGATGAAGTAGCAATGAAAATAATTTTATGGTTGGGGTCACCACAACATGAGGAACTGTATTAAAGGGTCACGGCATTAGGAAGGTTGAGAACCACTGCTGTAGATGCAAGCGGCGGATCTTCCCCATATGCCACACGCATCTATAAAAAAAATGTTTTCCCTAAGTGGAAGCCCTGGCCAACTTTAAAATCATTTTTTCGTGAGAATTTTCAGCTGAAAATATTTAAGAACACCTGAATTGTGAGTAATATATTTATTTTTATAGTATTCATTGCAAATTGGTTTTTTAAACTCATAATATCGTGGTGTGTGGGGATGGTTTCCATTTTGGATGTGTGGCAATTAACTGGCTATTGGAGACAAAAAGATAAAAGCAGAGAAAATCCAAAGTTCAAATGTAGCCTCAAGTCTCTTAAGTGTATTACATTCTTGACAAAATTTTATCGCTTTTGCTTGGGTAAAAGGTTGAACAGATCTTGATTTGTCAGGTTGAAATGTCTCATTATTTTCAGAACAAGAATGAAATTATTGAAATTTCTATCAATGAATAATGAATGCATTGGTACTATCTAAGACATGAATATGTTACATAAGTCTGGAATACTATGGCTGTTGAGAATGCACATGGGATAGTTTGAGCTTGCTAAATTTCATGTCTAAAAGTCACCTTTTTGGACTCTTAAATTATATTTCAAAAAGTTCTCAGATATCAGAAGTCTTTAATAAAATTAATACATTAATACATATCTAATTTCAAAATTATTCTTCCCCCTCTTTATCAGAGCTCAATAAGGAGTGTTGGAGAAGGCTCGCAAGTGGAAACGCTGCCCTCTAGTGACAAAGATGAAAGGTACGCTTTCCCTACCATTGTGTTCTTACCCAAACCATTATCAGATTGCTGGCTTTTCAGCAATGGCACCATTCAGATGTAGTCTGCCTTTAAGAAATTATTGAACTAATCAAATTACTGACATCAAAACAAAGCTGTTGCATGTTGAAGTTTTGATATTGCTACTGATACAAATTAAGTGAGGGCAGAAACCCCACAGGGAAGGAATAGGAACATTAGAAAAGTCCCCAAATGAATTGACAAGAATTTAACAAATTTTTTGTTTTTCCCTAATTTAGTTTCACAGGCCTGCCTCATGAAGAACCAGATGACTTTTGGTAAACACATGTGTTGCCCAGCTTCTTTCTCATGTAACACAATAAAAGGCCTATGTTCTCTGTAATAAACAGAATTCTCAATAAAAATTGTTTGTGCAATTCAGCGTGGTTTCTTTTTCACCATTTTATTTGGTACTCAAGTGTATAAACCAAAAATAATCTAGTCAAGAGATTTTCTAATTTCTTTTCAGAATTCCTAATTCTTAGGCCTTTCATTACTCTAGAATGAGCTGCTAAGGGTTTCCCCCCTGTTACTGTGTTAGATTTTATTTCTTTGAAAACTTATTGGTCAAATTCTAATCCTGCATTTTGGAAGTTTCTTCTGTTTTCTGCTCTCCAGAGTTGGGCTACTGCCTGTCAAACTGGAGGGCATCTTCCCCAGTCCTATCCTTCTGATTTGTCCCTCAAAATAAAGACAGGTTTTCCATTCTAGGCTTCCGAAATCGTACAGTACACTGGGCTTTGCTTCTGACATCTTTGTCTTGAGAATGAACCCAAACCCTGAGATGGTAAGAAGAGAAGATAACATTTACTGGCACTTACTGTGTGCCAGGTACACTTTAAACCTATACCTGTATTAACTCACTTAATGCTCATATCAGCCATATGAAGTGTAGATACCGTGACTGTCCACATTTTACAGATTAGGGAACATGGGGCACAGAGGTTAGAGACTTGACCAAGGTCTTGTAACGGTCCAGTTGTGCAGCCAGGACTCGGGTGTTGAGACCAGCACTGCCTCTAGCCTAAGCTATACTGAAGCTGCTCCTGTGAAAGACATCCCAGGACCTGGAATGGCTCAGTCACTAGGGATGCTCCTCTCCAGGATAACCTTTAGAAACTGCACTTCACTCAAACGCAGCACCAGCATAACTTCCACACAGGTAAGAGGAGACCCGTTTGCTGCTGCCCCCCGTTTCTTCATCTTTGTACTCCTGTAGCTCTCAGTCCAGCAACTTGTTGTGGGAGCATCTCGGGGAAAGTTCTTTAACGACTGCCATTATGGTCACTAAAAGTGCATCCAGGACTGCTCTGAGGGTGAACAACCATCTCAGTTTGCCTGGACTGGGGCATTGTGTGGAAGCGTGGGACTTGGTTGAAAAGTCTGTGAGGAGGATTCTCTGAAAGGTTGGAGGCCTCTAGGGGATTCTTGCCAAAGGCAGCAGACCCTGCCTTGACTTTTCCAAACAAGTCTAAGCCCCTGGGTGTTTTACTGAAATGTTTATATTTAGACTTCAAAACATCCTTGTTTTAAAGACACTATAAATACATGTTTTCTTAAAAATACCCTACTAATAACATCTAAAGATAATTTTAATTCAAACTATTGCAATGAAAGCCTAAGGAGACAGGCAAACAAGGCTGTCTGGTTCCTTTAGCTACACAGTCCCTTAACCCTCTCACAAAAAAAAAATGTCAAAAGAATCATCTGTCACTCAGGATCTGCTGGTCAGTCATAGCAGGGCATTGCCCGGGACATGAGACTCAGTATTGATGACCACGCAGCTCCTAATACAGGAAGGATTTGTCTGATCAATTCCAGGAAAATTCTAGAGCTGAACATTTTCCTTTACAAATACAAGCTGGGCTGCATTGTTTGTGCCAGTGATACTTGTCTGGCCCTTAAGTTCTATAACAAAGTGGTTGCCTTTCAAACCTTTGTGATTGCGCCTTTGTTCTAGGTGATGTCCAGTAGTTGAGGTGGTGTCTAGCTGTCAGTGCCCCAATGGGGATGATCACAGTCAGCACCTAGAACAGGGGTGGGCAAACTTTTTGACTCGAGGGCCACAATGGGTTCTTAAACTGGACCGGAGGGCCGGAACAAAAGCATGGATGGAGTGTTTGTGTGAACTAATATAAATTCAAAGTAAACATCATTACATAAAAGGGTACGGTCTTTTTTTTTTTTAGTTTTATTCATTTCAAACGGGCCGGATCCGGCCGGTGGGCCGTAGTTTGCCCACGGCTGACCTAGATGCAGTCTGATTGGAAGCCAGACTCTGACAGTGACTGGGAAAGTGTGTACAGTAGTTTGCTTTATCCAGTGTTTCCATTTTGGCAGTTTGTTACCCATGGTCTGAAAATATCAGATGGGAAATTCTAGAAATAATTCGTAAGTTTTAAATTGCATGTTGTAAGTAGCGTGATGAAATCTCACACCATCCTACCTGGGATGTGAATCCTCCCTTTGTCCAGTGTCACCTTGCTGTATGTGCCACCTGCCAATCAGTCACTTAGTAGCCATTTCAGTTATAAATCGACTGCTGAGGTAGCACAGGGTATGGGTTTAAGTCACCCTTATTTTACTTAATAATGGCCCTGAAGACATTTACATAACTTTTATTATAGTGTTGTAATTGTTCTACTTTATTATTGTTGTTAATCTATTGTGCCTAATTTATAAATTAAGCTTTATCCTCGGTATGTATGTACAGAAAAAACATAGTATATATAATGTTTGGTGCTATCTGTGGTTTCAGGCATCCACTGAGGTTCTCGGAATGTATCACCTGCACAGAGGGTTGGACTTCTGTAGAACTCCTGGGATAAACTGGGAGATGCATATTTTTGCCTACTCCCTCTGCATTTGGCCTGGGTGTATAGCTGTGGGTGTGTGGTTTTACGTCTGGTAAGAACTGCTTCTTTGTTTGCTACAGTCCCGTGGGACTTGTGAATGTAATCACTTCTGGCTGTCAGGCAGGCAATCTGGGGACCTGTCCCTTGGGTGGCAGCTGCTAACACCGGGCAGAGATGTGTATATAAGCTTCTTTCTGGAAGATACTGGGGATCTGGAGCTGGTGGGGGAGGCATCCTTGGCTTCTCTAGTGTCTAGAGAGGATGGCACTTGGCCCCTAGATGTGTGCTAAATTAGAAAGAAACCAGACTCTCAGGCAGCAGCTTTTAATATATTCAAATAGACCAGTTTCAGGGAAAGCAGTACTTGGTGAATCTAGAGCTGGTTTAGAACTGTTTGTTTGTATGTTATATTCTTGTGGGTTTTATGGCCATAAGCTCAGTTGGCCTTAAGAGTGGGGTGTTTGGGAGCCCATCTCAGGTGGGTCTTAAAAGATGGGGCACTAGATATGGGGTGCAAATCCTTTGCTCTTCAGGAGAACCACGGGGTCAGGGGTCCGTCCCCTCCTGATTGAATGGTGGTGTCCTGGGGTTGGGGTGAGACCGTGTCTCAGACTTTCTGGCCTGTTTCGATGGGGCTATTTTCTTGTTCGCTGCATGTATAAGAAGAGCTCAGCTATTTTTTGGATTTCTTTCAGAAAAACTTCCATGTATAGTGGTACATTCAGTGTGTCCATGGGAGAGAGTACAGAAATGCGCTATTGTCACCTATCTCAAGGCAGATTCCATTTAAAGAAAAGTAAGTCATTTCTCATGTAGCATTTCAGATGGCACATTACCTAGAATGCCCAAGAATACAGATTTCGAGATGCAAGCTCCCCTGCAGCCTCCCCTGCTTCTGCCTCCACAGGACCCCCTGAGTGAGTCTCTGTTTAAATCTTCCCCAGGTGGGTACAATAATGTTTAGACATATTTAACATCCATGTAAGAGAGAAACCAATCAATTGCCTCCTGCATGAGTCCCAACCAGGGGATCGAACCTGAGATCTTTTGGTGTATGGGATGATGCTCCAATCAACAGCCACACCAATCAGGGCGCAATAAGTTTAAATATCAAAAACAGTGAGGAAGATTAGTGGAGCAGTTTAGAAAAAGAACGTTCTTTGCCAAACCTGACTTCTATTTGCATTTTTATTTCCTCAAAACTTGGTAGTTTTACTTATCTTAAATATTTATTTTGAAAAGTTACCTTAAGCAACATCTATAATTTTTTACAACTATAATTTTTTACAAACATCTGGGAACAAATTAGTCTTGCACCAGCTAGAGAAATATGCCATTGTTTAGGAAAATATGTAAATAGCAAAGTGGATTGTCTCTTAAATGTTCTAATATTATGGCTAGCATAGCATTAAAAAGCCCTAAAAGGATTTTTTTCCAAATTTTTATTGTGGAATTTTGGTCTTCATTTTTTAGAAGACAAAGTATTTTTGCTTGCTGATTTTTCTTTTTCATGATTATTTTTTTTTTGTTAATCCACATCCAAGGATATTTTTCCCATTGCTTTTTTTTTTTTTTTAAGAAGAGAGTGGAAAGGAGGGATGGAGGGGGAGAGAGAGAAAAAACATTGATGTGAGAGAGACACATGGATTGGTTGCCTCCTGAACACACCCTGACCAGGGCTAGGAATTGAACCTGCAACCCAGGTACATAGCCTTGACCGGGAATGGAACCTGCGACCCTCTGGTGCACAGGCTGACACTAACCACTGAGCACATCGGCCAGGGCACTTGTTGGGTTTTTAAATGAGTGGGCCCCTCCCCTAAAATTTTGACTTTCTTTTCACCTCTTAAAAGTTATTTCACAAGGTATAACTAGATAAATGGAAACAGCTCCATCTGCTAAAGGTTTTCACATTTGTGGCATGATTACTGTTGATAATAAAGAGACTGCACGTGATCTTAGCTAGCCATGATTTACACATTTATTTAGGTGATTCATGTAACTTAAGAAATAATTACACAAATGCTACATTAACAGAAGGTATGAAGTATAGTGTGATAAACAGCAAACTAATTGGGCTCCTGATTTGGTCTCCTACTGATTGTAAATGAAGGGCGGTTATCTGGAGGCGAAAAGCTGATTATTACTAAGAAAAGTTAGAGGGAGAAAATCCAAATGTGTAATCATGCTGACAGAAGTCATTTTAAACAGACTATAAAATGAAATCTTAAGGAATAGTTTTAGCTCTGCTGCTTTAGAAAATACTGTTAGCTCTAGCCCTGGCTGGTGATTCTCTGTGGTTAGAGTGTTGCCCTTGGACTGACGGTTCATGGGTTCCATTCATGGTCAAGGGCACATACCTGGGTTGCATGCTTGATCCCTGGCCCCGGTAAGTGCATGTGTGGGAGGCAACCAATCCATGTATCTGTTTCACATCAATGTTTCTCCTCCTTTCTCCCTTCCTTCTACTCTCTCTAAAAATCAAAGGAAAAAATATCCTCGGGTGAAGATTAACAAAAAAA